GGGAAAAAGGTAACAAAAATGATATGCCATATCTGGTAGAGAAGTTACATTTGCACCTACTACAGCCTAAGCTTCAATAAAGCTGTACAAGGGCTGTGAAAATCAATCAATTGATTATCACAGTAAAATGGTTGTCCTAATTCAATTTATTACTCAAGGGCAACTAGTTGCAATTGAACTTAACATATATGACAGGATCTTCTATGAGAGGGAGTATATGTATCAATACCTCTCTCAATGCATGATATGCATCCTCATAAAACTTTAGTGCTTCAACCCAATCTCTACGAAACTCTGCATATACAGCAACCTGCAAAATTAATGACACGATAACTAGATAGAAATTGTTTTAACTCTTAAAATTCAAAGATTGATCGATGATGTATTTGACAGTGACTCTCTGCCTTTAGCAGAATATTTTGGTGCCATAAACAGCATATTAATATGAATTAAAATTGGTAATTATCACTCTGTATTTAGATCGTTTGATAGGTATAAGGTATTAATTGAAAAGGATACAAATGTATTATAGGAAGGCAATCAATTCCATGTTGGAAAAAAAATATATAAATAAATAAAAAATTCTTTAAATGGAATTTGGGCAAAATTTAAAGAGCCTAACTTCCCTTATCCTCAAATGGAATTACCCAGGGAAAAATGTACAGAGCCAAGTGAATCTGTTCAGGGTTGTAGTGTCTTAACTTCGTCTGACACTTTCTGAAGAAGGTTTACATTCACACGGTAGTTACCAACAAACTAAAGCAGCAGTAAAAGCTAGATAAAAGAGGAAACTTGTGATGTAGTGATCATTTAAAATCCATTTCATATAACATAATACAGCTAAAAAGCGTATTCATCTCTTTCATTAGTAAAGTAAAGATGAGTGATCTACCTTGAAGCAACAGCGGATATGCAATTCTGAAGAGTTGAAATTTCTCTTTTCAACCCGTGTTTTTACACGTCTTCCTTCCTCCCGGTAATATATGTGTATTAAGTCGGCCAACACGCTTCCTAGCCTGCAAAAGAAGTATATGAGGAAAGGAATACACACAAGATGAAAAAAGATGCGCAAGATAAAGAAACAAGAAGACTATCATGCCTGTTAAGGGACTGCTTCACTTCAGATGAATCTCTCATAGAAAAGTTGACAATGTACTTGGAATCCAATTCCACGCGTTTGCGCAAGGCAGCCATACGATCTTCATTCATATCATCTGTTTAATAGCAAGTTAATAATAATTCATAAGATATTCCACGGCTCAAGATACAGTTCCATTATTCATAACAATTCCGTCACATGGACTCCAACGCATGTCATGATGGTTCCTATGGGCATAAGTTTGAGGCACAGCAATTGTTGCTCATTTAGTTCAAGACAATCATAGTATAAAATCAACTACTGAAGATTCAAGATCTACCCCTCAACAGCAAGCATTTACCTTCAGGAGATGTTTGCACCACCACCACAACCAGTTTGGTATTCCTTGTACGAATAACTGTTCTGCCAACGATAATAAATCCAAAGTGAGGAAAAAGACACTATAAAAATTATTATGTCCTTAACCATTAAATTACTCTTATTAACGCATCCAAACTACTGAAAGAACTGACAGGAAAAGAAGGATTGAAATATGAAATATTAATAAGATACACGTGGAACATTCAAGTGAGGAAATCATAAGAAACAGACACGGTGAAATCCAGGAGTAACCAATGAGATTGATATTGCATTCTTCCTAACTTACATATCCCATTTCACTTTCACCTTTTAACTTTTCCTCCTCTGCCTCTCTTTCCAGCAGAGAAAAAAAAAATCTTGATAGAAAGAAACTCTTAGATCATATAATTTGGGCGAACTAGAGATTACCTAAGCAATTTTTCTAGAATTAATAATTAAAACAAAAGGAAATAGCAACCACGGAACTATATTTTTACACAACACATCCAACTATGCTTCCAGTTCGTATATCTCAATCCTCTCTCAAAAATGTTTTCTAATATCAGAGTCACTAGAGTGAAACGCTAGGTCATAATCAAGCACGCTGCAATAGCTAGCATCTACCAGATCAAATTATGCTCAAAGCCACCAACAAGATTTTAAGTTACACCTGTGGATCCTTGATTTAGCTAGAAGGTTTGTAGGTCGAACGCTACATTTAAAAAGTACATAAAAGTGGAATTACCATGACTTGCCCAGCCTAACAATCCGAACTATACCCGTCTAAGCAAACTACATAGTGGTATGATTTAATACTTATTAAACTACTGCACAAAAATATAATGTAGGGCAAAAAAGGGTCATAGCATTGCATTGAAACATTGAATAGCATGAAACTATGAAATACCAGTTAATACGATTAAATTGCAATTCCAACCCATCAACATTCAGCAAACAATAACACAAATTGCAATTGAATTAGCATTACTAGTCATCATATATTCAAATCCCAGCTATAAACTCAAGCATTTCACAAATTAAATTAGGGCTTCATCAAAAAATTGTCAAAAAGGAGAGAGAAAGAGGGAAATTACTTGAGATGATCAAGAAGAGTAGAGAGCTGAAGCCACTGAGAAGGGTCACCAGAAACATGATCAGAAGAGAATAAAGCGACAGCAACAGAGGGGATCTTAGTGCGATGCTTAAGCAACCAATCTCGCTTGAGAATGCCGGCAGGCGGCGACGATGAAGAATCGGCGGAATCGATGGGTTTAGCGAAGACGGAGATCTTGTCGAAATCCGGCAATGCTAGGGTATTGATCGGCGGTTTCTCGGCGTTGAGGTGGGCGGAGATTGTGGGGTGGAGCTCCGGGAAACCCACCAAGGTTATCAATGGAACTGGGGGTGTTCGTAGCTCTTCTGGGTATTCCTCCATTGTTGTTGAATTGAGGTGAATTGGGGTTTGAATGTGATTTAGAGAAGTGGGATTGGATCTATCATCGATTTTGGATGAACAGAGGAGAGACAAAGTGTAGAAATGGGGTGTGGTGTATTTGACCCGAGTTTGATTGCCTGAAAGTGAAGGTGAATGGTGATCGATGATGGTCCAGAAGTTGGGAAATGGGGCTAAGGGAATGAACTCTCACGGTGAGGGGGTGGAGATCTAGTCAAAGTTGATTCGACACGATAATATAATAAGTACTTCCTCCGTTCTTTTTTGGTAAAGAAAAACATATTCACCTATGATCTTGTTAAAATCATCTAAATAAGTAATATCACAATATATAATTTTTACTTATAGAGTATTAAAGTTATTAATGGTTAAACTTGTGCATCGACAAGCGTGATAAAAGAACCATATCAAGTAAAAAAAAAAAAAAATCATAGCAAGATAAAAGTGTTAATAATTTCCAACACAAGCATGACTTTTTTTTTTACAAACAAATGAGGTTTGATAAATTGATGGGAATTGTGATATTCTTAGATTTATCAATGGATAATAATCCGTAATAATAATTTAATCATCAATAAACAAACGTAGTTTTATAATCTCTATGGAAGAACAGTTTTTCGAGGTCAATTGTAACCATCAAAAATGTGATAATAACAAATATTAACAATACAAAGTTGCAAGTTTTAACTACAATCCTCATGGTTTTTTAGGAAGTCCATCTAATTCACCAAAAATTAGCTTAAACTATCTATGGATTTTCAAATAAACTACGGAGTACTTAGCTTTAATCTCTCTAGTGGCAACCCCCACAAAAATCCAAAAAAAAAACCCAAAAATCAGATCAATTGGGGCTGCCATGGATGAAAATATTCATGGTAAGCCCCAAATCCCCTATTTAGTCTATAGTTTATGTAGTTTTTTCATAGTTTATTGGTCAAAAAGTGAGTCTCTCTTTATGAAAGTTTGTGAGTCTCTCTTTATGTAGGGGTGGCAATTCGGGTCAGTGGGTCGGGTTCGGGTCAATTTTCGGGTTATGTTAAGAAACAATTAAAAATAGTGTAAAACTTAATATTATTACAAAATATGAAATTTTGGCCAAATCGGGTCGAATTCAGGTTATTCGGGTTCAGGTTTCTCTCATTGACTCTGGGTCAGGTTCGGGTCGGGTCAGGGATTGTCAACTCTATCCTTTAATGCTGCACGAATTTGTGAGATTGCTGTATTTTGGAAAGATTCAAGGACGTCATCAATGGTTTACAACCTGTTTTTCGGTGGAGAAGTTAGTAGATTAGGAGAAAAATATGTTTCTGATGTGAGCTCTGTTCTTTGTAGTGTTTACTTGATTTCTGTAAGTGTCGTTTGGCTTGTTTAATTTATGCTATTTATATGGTTTCTCCTCAAAAAAAAAAAAACGAAGTTTCAAGGTTATGTCAATTTTTAAAAAGTCTTTAAGTTACGAGCTTTCATCGAAAAAATGAGGTGATGATTCTAAGTTTCATGGTGGCTTACCACCACACTTTGACATTCCATGTTACCATTATTTTATGAGTTCACTTAAGACTCATAGTGTTTCCTTTGAACAAGTTTTTCAAAGGTGAATTTTATTTCCTTTAAAATATAGAATAATCAAGGAGCTACCAGTTTTTCAAACTAGAAACCTAAATTATTGAAGGTGATCATCATTAGTCCATCAACCTCGTCAAGATTATTGTGGAATACTAATCATTAATTAACTAACATTATTAACAATGGAAAGAGGTATAAATAGAAATGAGAAGCATATGAGCACATGGTTAAGGGGTTTGTGTGTATAGTGATATGCTTGTGACTGGTACAAGTTGATGATCAAATGGTGGTTGACATGGGTAGAGATGGTAGTAAAACAAATTCTATAACCTCTTGCACGACTTGCCTTTTAACAATTGAAAAAAAAAGTAAATACTACCTTCGTTTTTTTATTAGTCAACACGTTTTGACTTTACCACTATTCACACACCTTCTTTTGACCATATTTTGTGATTTATATGCAAGGAAAAATATAGTCAGGTGAGATATTGGTCATTTATTACAATGTATATTTTCATATTATCAACTTTTTACTCCGTATAATTTTTCTTATCGATAATTAAAGATATTAATGATTTAATTTATGCATTGACAAACATGACTAAAAAAAAACGTAACTAAAAAGAAACGGAGGAACTCCGTAAAAATTTGTGACCAATCTTCTCGTGTACACTTTGGGTGTTCCAATTCTTTGTCTTGGGCGTCATGGTCGTGCACTCAGCTCCATATAATTTCAAAAAAATAAAAATAAAAACAAAAACAAAACCCCCCGCCTTCTCCACTCCCGAAGAACTCTCTTTTTCTTCCCAAAAAAACAACACAAAAACCCTCCAAAAATTATTTTGTGAATTTTTAAGTTAAAGAGTTGACAAGCAAGCTGAATCAATGTCAACATTGGATTTAGACCCTGACGAAGTTTTCGCCGACGATGAAGACGATCTCCACGCAAATTCTCTTCTTGTATTTGCTCTACTCTTTTTTTTTTTTTTTTTTTTTTTTTTTTTCATTTTTACAAAATTTTATCAATATTTGTGTTAATTGGGTTCTGAGTTTGTAGGACAGAGAATCAAGCAAAGAGTATGTGGTTTACGTTGTCGACGCTTCTCCCAAAATGTTCGACACTTCTTGTCCTGCTGTAAGTTTTCCTTCATTATTGTAGTATTACTGTAAATCTGTAATTACTTATGGTAGGCAATTTGTTGAATATAAAAAGAGAATTAAGCTCATTTATCATATTTATATGTTAGTGCATGTGTTGTTTGCCTAATTTTCTCGAATTTTCATTGGAAGTTATATTTGCTTGAAATACCTTACTGATTTATATATACTCCCTCCGTTGGTATAGTAAATGATTCGAACTTTTAGAAACGGAGGTGGTGCTACGGATCAAGTTTTATACTCCCATCTAGAAAGACGTTCTTGTTAAAAGTTCTATCAACTAAGGATCCAGAACCTTGGTTATTGGAGCAGTACTCAATACCCATTTATTTAAGAAAAAGTTAATCACATGGGGGTCTTGTTAGTTTCGTCTTGAATTTTTTATTACATAAAATTTATTAAATTGAATTATTGATGCTCAAAGACATGTCTATGTTACTTGGACTTGGGTGCCCATGTCCAACATGGGTATGGGTCCAAGTGTCCGGCTTGCCTTTTTTGTGAAACTTTTTCCATGATTTTGAACTAAAATGAAGGGTCCAACATGGGCCCTCGAGGTGAAATGAAGAATTTTAAGAGCATAGGATGTGCGTATGAAGTTATACTGGAACATCTTTCTGAGACAAAGGGAGCCGTATGTAATATAACTACCTAGATATGGAAAAAGGCCTATTATCTTGGACATATCAACATAGTCTACAAAAGCTTGGGCGAGGGGGGGGGGGTCGTATCTTGAGAAGTAATTGCTTTTTGATGGCTTAAAATTGAAAGAGTAATTTTTAAATTTTGGGCTATGAAAATGTCTATCATCTAAATAAGAAGGGAAGAAGATTAGGATGCATGGAAATGTTTTGAACTAGTGTGTACCATGACTTTATCTATCTACAGAGTGTGAGAATTGTGATAGTCTAAGTTGACCACACATCTATGACTGACTTATTTCATTTTTGTCGACATAACCTTTGTTTTTTTATTTTCCTCGCAGGAAGATAAAAAAGACCAGTCTCATTTTCAAATGGCTATCAGCTGTATCTCCGAGTCCTTGAAGATTCGTATTATTAATAGTTCCTATGATGAGATCGCAATTTGTTTTTACAACACTGTAAGGCATTCTCCAATGTTTGGTTAAATCTGTTGAGTATTGACCCATAGTTCTACCATGAGTTATATCGTTGGAAATATTGTTACTATATAATTTAAACTATTGCAGTGTTTTTTCCCGATAGTTCGCGCATTCATTTTCATGCTTCACTGGATATTGTCCTGAATGTAGCTGATGCATTTGGCACAGCTTGTCTATCTCACATGAGTGATTAGTCAATTGAAGTTTAAATGTCTTGCATCTGTACATTCTTGTGACATGTTGCTAACTAGCTTAACTTTTCAAAACAGATCGTGACTTGCACCTCTATATGCTGTAGTTGGTTGCTCATTGAAATAAAAAATGTGACTGATATTGACCCCTGCAATCCTTCAATTTGTCAGAGATAAGATTATACTGCTAGCCTGTTGCCTTGTAACCCTCAACCTGCAACTCTTGCAAGGAGCAAAAGAGTTAGGGTCTGTAATAGGAGATTTTAGAGAAAGGTTATTTTAAATTTCTATGTGTGCATTAAGGCCATTTTGGATTTTTTTGTTTTTTTTTTTTGTTTTTTTTTTGGTTTTTTGTTTTGTTGTTTATTATGCCCTGCATCGTGTTCTAAAATCCGTCAATCTTTGTAAAAGGAATTTTTACAGTGAATTGATATGTCTTTTCCAGTTATAACTCTATGTGAATCATATCAAAATTGATGTAGCTTGCTAGTGATTCGTCTGTGATTTCTGTTTACTCCAGTCTTTTCAATTATATACTATGCGTTTTGTGGTCATTGTTGAGTGTGATCTTAATGTGCCAAGTAGTTTGTGGTTCAGTGGATTTTCTAGGTCATCGCAAGTAGCAAGAATTGAATGAGTTCTATGTGCTTCAATATGAACTATGCTTTTATATCATGAATTTTTTTTTTTTTTTTAATTTCGATTCATCATTTGCAGCGAGAAAAGAAGAATTTGCAGGATATAAATGGTGTTTTTGTATTTACTGTTGCTGGTGAAGATGGTCTTGGCAGGCCAACAGCCAGGCTAATAAAAGAATTTGATCAAATTGAGGGTAAAGCCACTATTTTTTTTTTATTTTTTATTTTTTGAAACCACTAATTTTTTTATTCGATTTGCCACGCCATAGTTCTAATAATCTTATGGTTTTTCATTTATAAAATGTTCTCCACTTTTTCTCAAGTTACAAAAAGACGAAAAGTATGAGAAGATAATCAGCTATTATAGGTTCATGTTGCAATTGTCAAACTCATTGTCCTATGTCTGAAGAAACTTATTTCATGCTGTCTATTGTCTAACTCGGGTCTTCTAGTGTGACCTTCCCTATCATTTCAAGTATTTAGTGTGCCTGATATATTGGACGGTTTGTGAAGGGTTCTTAGTTTGAAAGTGATTTTATCTTAGATATTCTGTTTTCATGTTTCTGGGGATATAATGCTTAGAATTACTTAATGCTAAAAGTTTAAAACTATTCTTTTTTTTTTTGCTCTCTTTGATGCTTCTCCGTAGTGGTAGTCTGGTAGTATTGTCAAGCCTGTTGGAATGAATTGTTTTGGTACTGCGTGTGCTATCAGTTAGGACTTTGGAGGCTTGTTGCTTCGTCACTAGAAGTGGAAGCTATTTATTCAATTTGAGCATTGATCTAAGTTTATCTAGGGGCTTGTGGGATATTTTGTCCTGCTGGTTTTGTTCCCTGTCAACTCTTATGTGTCAGTTCTTCTTTCCGTATTAAACATAGAAGGAAAAGTATTTCTCTGGCAACTTGAAGATGGAAGGTTATTTCCCTAGAGAAATGGATGAGAAATTAAAGATAAGCCATGCCCTCTTGACTACAATCATCCAGGGGAATAAGATTTGTGCGTCTAAATACTCTGGACAACACTTCATGCTTAAGAATGATTTGACGTGCTTGGGACACTTTTGCTGAGAATAAAATGAAAATAAGTTTAGGCATTGTCTAGTCTTACTCCTATATCTTTTTGTTTGCCCTATTTGCTTTTTGCACATTTTCTAGTGCAATATTGTAATTAAAATATCTCAAGCTATGTATTACAAAAAAAATAGTAAGTTACATATTTGGAAACTAAAAATCGAGACAAATTTACGAAGATTCCACATGAGTATATATATATGTATATATACTACGTATGAAGTATTAGATTCCGTAAGCATTTGAATCTCTTTTAAAACTATAAAGATTCCAAATAGGATAATCAAATATAAATAGAGAAAGTATATGATTTTGGTTCATTTAAGGATTAGTTACTAATTTCTTTGTGTTTTAGGCATATCCACATGTCAAAGTTAACTTATCACTTGGATAATATATGTTATTTGATTATCAAGCATCTTTCAGTAACAGTGCCTTTACTTTGTTCTTAGATAGCCTATGGAAGAAAGTATAAAGGTGCACATAGAGGGATCTAGAGATGTAGGAAGCGGGGGAAATGAAATATGTGGGATGGATAAATGTAGAGTGACATTGCTTTTGTTTATGAATGTATTGCAAATTTGCAATTAAATAGTTGGGGGCCTATATGAATATGATCAGCATGTTTGCCTCACTTGGTTTTTTTTGTTCATTCAGAGTCCTTCATGAAAAACATAGGAAGCCAGTATGGCATTGTGTCTGGATCACGAGAGAACTCCCTCTACAATGCCCTTTGGGTTGCTCAAGCGCTTCTACGCAAAGGGTAATATCATCTTCTGAACAGTTTGTTGTCATTTTGCTCAACCTGTATCTCTTGAATTGAAAATATGACTGAAGGGGTTCTCTTCAGATCTACAAAGACAGCTGAAAAACGTATGCTTCTGTTCACAAATGAGGATGATCCATTTGGGACTTTGAACCGAGTAACAAAGCTAGACATGACAAGGACTACTTTGCAACGAGCTAAAGTAAAATCCTCAGGATCTATTGAGCAACTCTTATGCGGGGCTGAGATGTCCCTGTAATTTAATACTGTTTTGCATATTTTCAGGATGCACAAGATCTTGGTATCTCAATTGAACTTCTTCCCCTGAGTACTCCTGATAGAGATTTCAACATGTCCTTTTTCTATGCTGTATGTGAATGTCTTCCCTTACATTGTTCTCCATTAGCTTCTTTGGTTCATATAAATACCTGAAAACCATTGCCGGCTTAGGTCATGCTTGGATTGGAGGGTGATGCTCTAGCTGAATTCATTCCCTCATCTATAGAGAGGTTTGAGATCAAAACTTTTTCCTGGTTTTCTTACACATTCTTTGCATGATCTATGGGCATATTATTGCAATAAAGCTTCCCCCTCCTGTGTGTGTGTTACCTTTGATGAAATTATGTAAGGAAGGTTTGTTCCCCTCATGTATACTTATAAATAATTTGCTGAGATTGTGAGATTAGTTTTCTGTATATCATAACACAGATGGCGTAATTCTCATGTATTTATGAAATACAGATTGCAAGACATGAAGGACCAGCTGAGAAAGCGTATATTCAAGAAACGTAGATATAGAACATATACACTTTCAATTGCGAGTGGTGTATCTATACAAATGAGTGCATATGCTCTACTTCGTCCTACTGTTCCAGGTTTTTTCATCCTAATTTTTAAATTTTAATTGTTCTCCAAACTTTTATCTCAACCTGTTTGTTATCCCCTAATATGATACCTTGCTTGGTTTTCTAGGAAATATTACTTGGCTGGATTCTACGACCAATCTTCCTCTCAAGGTTGTATTTGCTATCCTATAACTATATATTTTCTTGGCTTTTAGCATGTTTAAAATTCTACATTTATTTTTTAGCTGTTAGTTGTTGTATTACATGCAATGGTCTACAACTCATGGAATTCATGAGCTTCGTTGTAAGATAGGAATATAGGATTAAGGTAGAATAATAGAATGCCTATCAGCATAAATGTTTTATAGCATCGCTATCTTTCAACACTTTTATATTTTGAGGGGGTGGGGAGGGGTGGACCCTGTTGGGGGAGGGGGTGGGGGGGTGGGGGGAGGAGGAGGTTGGTGTTATTGTGTTAAATAAGCAAAAGAGTATATATTAGCTGTAGTGGACCGAATACAAGCAAGAAGGCAAAATGTCTTATGATGAAATGAAAAATCACAAGAAATTCTAACTATCTTAGACGTGAAGTCTGCAACTTAAAAGCCTCAGCCAGCATGAAAGTGAAAACTGAGAAGATATGTGTATGGGCCCTTTCTTATCTATAAATCAGTCTCTCCGGTGAAAGATAGGATTGAAAAATTTGGGATGTTTGATAATGTTCAAGTTATAATAAGCTAATGTTTTTATTTTTATTTTTATTTTTATTTTTATGTCAACTAGAGATTTAAGTTGCTTTTTGTATTGTATGATTCAGTGGTTTGACTACCTCGGTTAACTGAGCATATGATTGCCAAATTAAGGTGACTAATGTGAGGAAACATGCGAGTAAAAGAAAACATTAATTTTGGAGTCATTTCACTTTGAAGTTTAGGTCCAATTTTGAAGGAAGTTGGGACTTCTTTATCTTCAGAAGTTTATTACTGTAATAGTCTTCTTCTCTTCTTTTTCTTGGGTCTTTTTTAAGTTCAAAATTTGCTCAAATAAATGTTGTTGTTAGCCTGTTAGGACGTCCAAATGCCATCTTCATATAAACTTTAAACAGTTGAAGTATGTAAACTGCTGTATTGATCTTGGAAAAATATAGGGGGTTTTAAATCCTTGTCACAGGAATCCGTAGTGTTTACTATTTTGTAAATTGACTTTGTGCAGACTGAAAGGTCCTTAATTTGTGCCGATACTGGTGCACTTATGCAAGAAGCTCCCAAGCAGTTTCAAGCTTATAGGGAGTAAGTCTGTACTGATTTTTGATTAAATGGTCCAAAACATGTACCTATTATTAGTTTTTGCCTGGTCCTTTATACAACTAATATAAAAGCAATGCTGTAGTTTAGTAAATTTTGTTTTTCAGATTCTTATAATTTGTACTATATTGATTAAATGTTTTGAATAAATGTGCCCTGCAGTCAAGAAATAAAGTTTTCCAGGGAGGAGATATCACAGATTAAAAGAGTCTCTTTAACACAACTTTGCCTTCTTGGATTCAAGCCATTGAGTTGCTTGAAGGATCATCATAATCTGAAGCCGTCAACGTTTCTGTTTCCAACTGATGAGGTAACTTGGTATACTTGCAGTATATGTTGATCATCGGTCTTCACGGCTGCACATTTAATCATACAATCCTACTCATCCACAAACTTCATTTGAAAACAACAATATTAAAATTCTACACTATAACATATGAACATATACATCAAAACAATGCATGCAGGAAAATACAGAGCCAATATAGAGCACCAGGCCAATATTAATCTCTTGCATAGAGAAGTCTGGTCTTGTTTCGACTTCTATAAAAAAATTTGAGCTAGCTTCAAGGCTTAAGATTAACTTGGGATGTAATGATATTCTTTTACTCTTGCTTTTTTTTCTTGGCAAGTTGTGTCATTGAGTCTCTTAACTTACCTTTGGGTCTGTGTAGGAGGACTTGGGTTTATAAAATTTGAGTTTCATTTGGGAATCTCCTAAGATAGTAGATAATTGGTAAAGCTTTAATTTTCCTTTAGAGACCAGATCAGACTTAACCAGTCTTGTCATTTTGGTCAACCCACCCCCACCCCCCCACCCCCTGCGCAGGGTGTACAAAATGTAGGAGGAAGGAATTGTTGAGCAGGCCTAGTTTTGGGTAGCAACTAATAATTTTGGAAGTAGAATGTAGCAAAGGAGACATAATTGTTAGGCAATCGAGCATTGGACAGAAAAAATAGAGTAGAAAGATCATTTGGCAGTTGGGACTATGTCTGTAAGCCCAAATTAACAAGTGGTCAAATCTTGGACGTATCTCTTTGCTCTCTGGCTTTAAGTGGTGCTTAATATGTACTGCAATATCTGACTTTCAGCTGTGGAAAAACTGGTGTCTGGTTCAAGGTTATTCTTATCCTTTTTTGAATATATTGTGCAGTATCAGACAATAGCTATTCTCTTTCCCTTCAATTTGTTATGCAAGATCCTGATGGTTGGGCGTTATACATCTCAATCTCAGAATTATGTTTGTGAGGTCTTCATACACATCATGGCAAAATGATGAACATAAAAAGAAAAGGAGGGCCTTGTGCTATGGAATATGGATTATCATAGCTTGAGCTTCATAAATGGCAGAAAATAGGAAGAAGATGGTGAATTTTAATTAATAAACTGAATCACAGCACTTTTGTATGAGAATTCCACTTTCGAGAGGTGTATTCTCTCCTAATTTAGCCTTCTAAAGCTAACCCAAAGCATTCGACAATATTTTGCATGATTATCTCTGTCTATTTAGCTTTATATATAGAGCATTTCCATAACAAACTAACTAACTTCTCCTTCAAGCTACTAAAAACTTTATTATGATACTCCTAAATTGCCTCTCTTCCCTAACATCAGTTCATTGCATTCTGTTACTCTCATCTATTTAGTTTTTGTTGGTCTTTTTCAAATTCTTGTTTCTCAAAATTCTTTGAGAAAACATCATGAATTATGTGTATGCTTTGTAGGATACAATTGGCAGCACTAAGATCTTCATCGCGTTGCATAGATCTATGTTGCGGCTTAGACGGTCAGTAGCCTAATCTTTGATCTTTGTGCAATCAACTTGTAGTAATTTGCCATGCATGACCACCTCGACTGAGGTAGATTTGACACAACTTGTCGATTATGAGATTAAGGCTAGTGACAAATACACATTTTGGTGACCTGTCATCTGTAGAATTGCCAGGTTTTGCTTTTTACACATGTTTTCCAGAAGTAATGCAGCTAACTAGTTGCTAGGTATATGAAGTTCCTTTGTAAGTTTTATATAGATAAGACTAGTATAGATATTTGTGAAAGACATGCAGAGAGTGCATTTTCCAAAAGCAAATGTTTGTTAAAGTCAAATATAATAAGTATCAATGTTGCTTCTGTAGCTTTCTGGCTTGTTATAGCTTTTCAGTCTTTAGTCTTCATGATGCAGCTTTGCAGTTGCATACTTTGGCAGTTCAACACATCCTCAGTTGGTTGCGCTTATTGCTCAAGTAAGTTTTATTCATTTGTATTGTTTCAAATTTCTTTTTAAAGTTAGATTCCAGATATATATGGTTATCTGAAGTGATATTTTTCTTAATTCCCAAGGTATGAGAATAAAACCCTAGTTCTAAGACACTATTACATCAGGAGGAAATTCCTTGTTACCAGCTTTAACAGGATCTGACCCTTTTATGGTTCTGCTCAAATAAGCAGGGTAGAGGGTTTTCTGAGCTAAAATGAACCTTTATAAATTTATTTATTTTTGGATTTGCTCATTTCTGAAATATATATAGTGGAGTCTGGTTGGTTCATTTCAGTGTAAAATCGTTGTACGTTATGCATTTATACTTCTAAACAAATGGAGAATAAGAGAGTGGAGTCATAAAGGCAGATATCATATCATCAGTGTATAGAGTAATATACAAATTATTTAGCTTCATTTTCTGGTACCAATAAAAGTTTCATATTCTCTTCAGAGCACATCATCCAGAATTCCAGACCAAAGTTACAGAAGTTAACTATGAACCTAACTAGTTTACGCTGTATTAAATTATTTGTGAAATGCTGGATTATACAACTTAAATTTATGTCTATCTGGATTTTCAATTTCTATCCTCTTTTAGCATTCATTTACACTCCCCTCCCTAAAAAAAAAAAAAAAAAAAAAAAAAAAACCACGCATCCCCTCTATGGTCTCTATCATTTTCGCATGCCATGAAACAAACTCAGTGCTGGTTTGATTTTGTTTTCTTGCTGAAAGCAGGATGAAGTAATTACTGCACGTGGTCAGGTTGAGCCTCCTGGAATGCATATGATTTACCTACCATATTGTGATGATATACGAAACCCTGAAGAGGCAAGGAATAATTTTGTAGATTAATTTGTAGGTATATAAGCCAGTTTTTCTCAATTTTCTGCTTAATTGATCTTTGGGAAATGTTCTTCAATCTTTTGCAGCTTCATATGGATGTCACTTTTACGACCCCTCGTGCATTGAATGAAGATATTCAGAAGGCTGCAGTCCTTATGAACCGTGTAAATTTAAAAGATTTTGCAGTATGCCAGTTTCCTAATCCCGGTAATTACTATTCAAACGGTGCCCACTATATAACCGTGTTCTTATTTGATGCACATTCTGGTCACTTGGGAGTTAGGGCTCAACTGCTCAAGCAATAGATAATAGTTACAAAGAATACCAATGCTGTTTTTAATATTTATTAGCTTTAAACTGCATAAACTTAGGGGTGAATGCAGGTGATATCCCCATGTTATAGGTTACACAGAAATTGGCTCAATTTATTCAACCATGTGAACGAGAAGAAACACTTGATCACTTGGTTTAGTTTATGGCAGTGATTGATTTGGTTTGTTAGAGGATATACAGTTGGCTATATTGTCTTAGTTTACATTGTATTATTGTTCATAGAGTTTGATGTTTCTTAGTTATTCTATAGATTTGTGTTGCATCACAACTTTTAGCTATTTCATCTAAAATCATCATCTCTTCGCACTAACCAAATTTTGTTGCAAAAATTGTGTATGCTGCTGGGAATATCCATACTACGATTTTGCCATATGTTGGCTATCACATTTATCCTTCCATTTTAATTTTTTTGTCGCTCTAGCTTCTAGTAAAAGGCTGTCAAAATATGAGGTTTATTTTCTCAGCCTTGCAGAAGCACTACGCAGTATTACAGGCCTTGGCTCTGGAAGAAGATGAAATACCAGAAATTAAGGACGATACCCTTCCTGATGAAGAGGGCATGGCCAGGTAATGTGCTAAACTAATTTGGTTTCTAGCTTATGCAACTAACTTGATTTCTTCACCGGCTCTTCAAACCTAATTGCCAGGCTTGCTGGATTTAATCATTTAAAAAAATATTGTACCCCTCCTGTTTCCTACTCTACTTTGCTGTTCCTGCTTGCTTTAACACCATTTTTAATGCATATTATTGAGCATTAATTATTACTTATTTTTAAAACTCATGAGAAGTTAATATTTGAAAACTACGCAAGACTTTAGTCATTCCACTATGAGTATGTTTTTTCTTACGCATCAGTCAGTATTCATGCATGGTCAACATATTGGCTCATAACCATGAGATAGTGGGATCAATCCCCACTAGAGGCAACTTGGGGGTGGGGATTCCCTTACTCCCCCCCCCCCCCACTCCCAAGGGGCCTTGCCCTTGTGCCCAGGCCGGGTTGACCAGTGCGAGGCTCAACCGCTCAACTCCGGTAGGGTGCATTCTCCTCATAAACCGAGACATTCCTACTAAAATGTTTTTTATACATTGCATCAACTTTTCAATTTTTCTAGGAACATCAATATGAAATGGAAGGAGTATTATCTACAAAGATCTAACCTTTTTTTTTTTTGTTATTCTCAAATAGAAGTGGACTGAGGCCACAGAGCCTTAATTATTTGTTTTTCATTTGTGCTTCATAACCTGAATCTGCTGTGTTATATCCACAACAGGCCTGGTGTTGTTAATGCAATAGAAGAATTTAAGTTGTCTGTCTACGGAGATAAGTATGATGAAGGAGAGAGTATTGTTTCTGAAGCTTCCAAAAAACGGAAAGCTATCGCTGAAAAGGCAGTACAAGAGTCTGCTAATTATGACTGGGATGATCTTGCTGATAATGGAAAGGTTTGATCTTAATTTGAAATCCTCTTGTTCATCATAATGCTCTGCCATATATACACTTTCTTAGATGATCTTTGCTTCTTTTTTATTCCCATTTTTTTCGTCTCTTACTCTCGATTTCCTGCTTGCTTCTGTTTTCTGTGTGGCAGCTGAAAGATTTAACAGTGCCAGAACTTAGATTTTACCTCACAGCCCACAAACTTCCTGTTACTGGAAAGAAGGAAGCTCTCATTAGCAGGATCTTGACTCACATGAAAAAATGAATCTGGCATTCACAGATATATTCTGGGGAGAAATTAGCTAGGATTTTGACTGTACAAATGTCTGTAGACAGAGGGCAAATTTTCACAACACCAACATCACTGCCTCTTGGGCTCTTACCATGCTTGTAGAGGTATAATGATGTATGCCATCCTTTTCAACTCTATTTTTTGAACATTTTGGTGTTATTCTTGAATGATTAGATGCCAAAGATGTCGATGGTTTGATGTTGTACAGGATAAACAATCTGCTTAATATTGGTCTCAGTTGTTTCTTGTTAGTTGTTACTATGTATTCATCGTTGTATTTTCTGCCGCTCTGATTTTGTTTGTGTTCATATACACCCAAAAGAACTTTGCAAAATCTGAACTTATTTAGTTGTATATTCGTGAGGTCGCTATGTGCCTTCAATTACTGCATGAGATGCAGAGTCCCGTATGGTGCTATATGCCTTTAATTACTGCACGAGATGCAGTGATGCACTGCCTTGTATGGCAGACAGACGAATAGCAGATAGTAAAGGCAGCATCATCTCTTTTTATTTTTAACTAGTTAGGTTGTGTCTTAGGTAAGTGTAACCTGGGGAGTGCATATTATGCTGCTAAATTGTTTTTATTCTTATCTTATTTTTTCTGTAACTTCATCTGACACTTTCCTGAAGATTCTTCAAAAGGTTCTCTTTTTTTCCACTCTTTAATTCTTTTGAAATCTTCTAAGAATCTCTCTGTTGATCAGTTATCAATCTTTGTCTGTTAAATCCCGTTAAATAAACTTAACAATGGCAGCATCATTTTCTGTCTTGGTATCTCTTTTTGGGTGTTTTTTGACTATAAATATGTTTTGTCTGATTGTTGAGGAAGGTATGGAGATAAAAGGATTATCGAACCCAAAAATACAAATTATTTATTGATAAAGTAGGTTTGATGTATCTGTATAAAATGTCCTACATATGGTACTCAAAAGTAGACAGAAGATTTTGATTCTATTTTCTCGTCGGCTCAAAATTTTGGTACAGGATATTGGTGGTGAGATTAGTGACAAGAGTATCTTTCAAATGTTCAGGGCTTTAAAATTATATTGAATGATTAAGATCAGGTATTTATTTCGTACTGTTTTTACCGGTTCGGAAGACGAGATCAATTGTACCCGCAATTTATCTTGAAGCATATTAAGCGACAAATTGGCCGGCAAAACTAGCTAATTTTGTTCAACATTAGTTGACATTTGAAATTATATTACTATCTTCGATTTTTTTTTTTTGGCAATTTTGGATTATTATTTGTGAGATATAAAATATTCTAAAGTTGCAATTAAAAAAAATTGGAGGTAGTAGATGAATATACTAGGGATAGTTTGACAATGGCTAAAGATTATGGCAATAATTATGAATCCTTAATATTATCAAAGTACTTTTATTTATTTATTTTTAATTATTACAAAGTAATTTAAAGGAAATTGGTAAAAAAAAAGTTTAAGGGTTGAGATTTAGTACAATTATGGTGGCCATTATTAATTAATTACTTGTATGTTATAACTAAAGCCACATAAAAGTCTACAGATTTACTTAAAAAAAAATTCCTTATTTATGATTGGTTTTCATGGAAACATTTATATAAAATCGCCCTTATAAAACCATTTTTGTGAATTATAGAAAATATGTGACTATCCTAGGTTTTTTTCCCTTGGCCCAACTCACTTCCAGCGTGTAATTCCTATTCACTACACCCCCCTTTAGCCATAAATACCTACCCCCTGAAATTACCGTAAAACCCTTACCCCCACTAACCACACCCCACTAATTGCATCCCACTAACCGCACTATTAGAACTTGCAGTTAATTCTCCATTTCTCTTCAACACAATATTCTCTCTCTTCAAATACTCAAAATCGCTACAATTCAAGAAAAAAAATCTTCAAAATTACTGCAAATTGCATCAAAACAACTAAAAATGTCTACATTCGAGATGAAGTTCGTCAATCGCAAATAAATTCCGAAAAAGAAGAGTAAGAATTTGTTCATTTAAGTAGAATTTTGAATGTAAACCCTAGTTTTTTTTTTTTTTTTTTTTTTTTTTTTTTTGCGTTTTGATATTCTAAAACAAACTCTACTATAATTACACTTATTTTTGTGCAAAATAGACTAAAATCTACTATATTTGGCGAAACAGAGAAGAATACTTCGAAGGTTCCGTCAGAGAAGACGATTGCTGAACAAACGTTCATTTTCAGTAAATGTTCATTTTCAATTTGATAGATGTTCATTATGATACTAGTATATGATCATTTATATTCTTACCTTATTTGGTGGTATCTACTAGGGTTCATTCTTGAGAGAATATTACTCTAATTTTGTTTATGATCTTTACATATTAATGAATGTTTACTGGTATATAAACATATGTTTATTTGAATGTAATTACGTACATTTTCATTCTCATATTGAAAATATCCACATAGATTATAATAATACATGTTTAACTTCATATTAAATTATATGCTCATGAGCATCATTTGAATGTTATACTACATACATTTTCGCTCAAATATTGATAGATGATTATTCGAATTTGATACATAGATGTTCATTTGGATATGTGTATATTATTCACACATATGTTAATGTATGTTCATTCACATGTCTAAAAATGTTCAAAAATAAATTACATATTTCTCATTTATCATAAACCTTTGATGATTTTATTTTAAAATATGATTTTATTTTAAAATATGTTCAAAAATAAATCACATATTGTCACTTACATTATTTGTGATATATATATGCTCATGTTATTTGTGATAATTTGTTCATTTATATAAAACAGAATGTACATTTTTGTTTTGCAAATTGAACATTTATTAAATTTGTAATATCAATATAATGTTTATGCATATATATTGATTTACAAACACAATATATATTGTAGTTATGTTCTATATAGAGTGAAACACACGTTGCAATAATTTAGAGATGAAAACTATGAGCCTAAATTTATAAGGAGATAATGCCATCAATTATATTGAAAGATAAAAATGAACAACATAGTAATATGTAGGAATCATATTTTGATAAAAGCATGTTGAACCACAAGTAAGTTAATTTGACATATAGCATAATGTTCATTTTCATAACAATGAATACACACATTGACATTGTAATTTGTTTGACTTACAGATACACCAAATCAAGAAGCTGAGAATACAATACATTGCTCAACTGATGCTATTTGGATTAAATAGAAGCTAGAGACAATAGAAAAGGAGCAAGAAGATTTATGGAAGCTTATATTACTACAAATATTATTCTTTAGGTTATTTGATCATTTATGGATTTCTAAATGATCAAGTACATTAATATTCATATTTTTTTTTTTAATTCATTATGACATCACCACAGACCAATTTGTTTTTTCGCTCCTTGCAGGCGGAGCGGCATTTCGACAGGGAGATTCTGAAATTGCGGAGGCTTGGTTCGATCAAGCCGCCGAGTGGCGGATGCCTCCGCTCGGTCAACCGTCTCTTCGTGTGGGCAAGCTACGCACCATTGTGCGAGCTCGAAGTGATGAAGTGCTTGTTATATATATATATATATATATATATATATATATATACATATATATATATATATATATATATATATCAATAAATTAACGAAATACAATAAAATGTTCATTATCAAGAAGTTATATGTTCAATTACGTAACATTATAACGAAATACAATAAAATGTTCGTGGTTATAACGAAATATAAAAAAATGTTCGTAACCAAAAAGGCAAATGTTCAGTGTCAAAACAAAACATGTTCAGTTACATATCACTTATCAGAAAAAAAAATTAAGCTGGAACAAATATATGTTGTTTCAATCCAAATTCTTACTTATTATTATTGGCCAACCTATTCGCTACATTAGTGTAAAAAAGAAAAAGCTAACAACCTATCATACTTAGAAGAAATATGTTGATTAGCTACTACGTTGAACACTTTGAACATCTCTTGGAACGCTTGAAGGAACTTGAAAATTTCTTGGAACACTTGGACGTAATTGAACCTTTTTTCTTGGCACACTTAAAGAAACTTGGACATCATTTGGAGCACTTGAATGAACTTGGCCTTTTCTTGGAGCACGCACTTGATCTAGTGTTTTCATGGTCGAATTTGACCTTTAAAACCAAATTTTCAAGTCAAAATTGGTGTTTTGCTTGGGTGGGTTGCGGGTTAGGGAGGCTGGAGGTGTGGGTGGGTTTCGAGCTGGCTGGAGATGTGGGTTTCAGGCTGGCTAGAGATGTGGGTGGGTTTCGGGCTCGCTGGAGATATGGGTTTTTTTTTTGGGTGGGTTGCGAAGGGTGGAGGTGTGGGGTGGTGGGTGGGTTACGGTTTGGGTGGAGATGTGGGTTTTGTTTGGGTGGGTTGTGGGTTACGGAGGGTGGAGGTGTGGGGTGGTGGCTGGGTACGGGGTGGGTCAGGGTTAGGGCTTCTGGTGTTAGTAAGAGTCGTGGTGGATGGTGGTGCTGATATTTGTGGGGGTCATGGTGTGGGTCGTGGTGGGCCGGTGGTGTTGGTGGTCGTGGCTGGTGTTTTTTTTTAAAGTATTTTTTTATTATTTTTATATAGAGCTGATTTTATTAGTTGTATTAATTTTATTGTTGTATTAATTTTTTTTTTGATGTAAATGTAATATTACAACAAATAATTAATAAAAATATTAATGTTTTTACATATGTTTGGTTTGTGAATCAATTTATGTGAAAAAAACCAAAAAAAAAAAATTTTTTTTTTTTATTTTGTATACCTGTAATGGGCAGCGGTTTGGCACCAAAACCGCTGCCCTTTCTCTAGTAATGGCAAGCGGTTCTGAACCGCTTGCCATTTAAATGGCTAATGGCAAGCCCCCTAAGCCCATGCGGTTCAAAACCGCTTGCCATTAGGGGGTTTGAACCGCTTGCCATTACGTTTATTCTACTAGTGATTTCTTGAAACAAGTTTAGAACCTTAAACATTTTTAGGAACACGAGGAAGAACTCCAACATTACCTAATGCTTCTATTATTCTGATCATTTCTAACAATATTGAATTATTGACACGAACATGAACATTTCTTGGACACTAGCGGAAATTCCAGCAGTATTAGAACAACTTGAACGAATTAATTAACTTGAACAGTAAGAATACATTGATCATTTATACAAACATTCGATTTCTTCTCTTATATAAAAAATATTGATCATTATCAAAAGCATATATATATGCATGTACATATATAAAAGAATAAATGAACATGATAAATATAAATGATCATTTAATATTATCAAATTGATCAAAATAATGAATTTTTTTTTTTTTAAAAAACACACCAACACAAAAACGAACATAATCATTAACATATATGTACAATAACAAAACACTAAACAATAAAAATCTAAATGATCACTTAGCATTATTATCAACTTGATTAAAATAATAAACAACTAATTATAATATTAATAACAATGTCAATTAATGAGCACCCAAAACTAACAAGTATACAATTATATTCCAACATTAATATATATATGATCATTTAGCATTATCAAATTTGATCAAAATAAAAAATCGAATTGAAAAATATCAAAAAAATACAGAAATTCTAATAGTGGAAAATAACAACAAATAGCAATCAAAATCAGTAATTAATAAACAAAAAACAACTAACAAAATGAAAAAACAGAATACACAAATTGAACTAAAATAGAGACAAAATTAAATATTAACAAAACTAATCAAAATTACTCACATTGATCAACAAAGTAATCAAGCAATCTAACACAAGAAGGTAAAATCACTTGACAATCACGATCAACATCGCCAATCGAAGAATGCAGAATTTCATGATCACGATCAACAACACAAATCAAAGAATCCTCCATGAATGAGAAAGAAAATTAAAAAAAAACACATGAATGAGAGAAAAGTAATGAAATAGTGAGAGAAAATTCAGAAAAACAAATGAAAAAACAGAAAATTAGGTATATAAATCATGAATTTATATGTGTGGCTTGGGAAGTAAGAAACAAGAGTAATAACTAATAAGAAGGAAAGAAAAAAAAAAAAAAAAGCTGAAAAAAACAGAAACTATATACAAAAAATTGAAACAACGTAGTTTAGGGAGGGGGAGTAGGAAACTCTACCTAAAGGAGGATGTAGGTAAAAATTTTCATCTAGTGTGGGTCTTACAATGGAAAGGTGGGCTAGGTGGCCTTATTGCTTCATATGACTCTTATTAGTCTTAGGGCTCGTTTGGTTACCATGGGAATTAAATTACCGTAGGAAGTTTTAATTCATGGGAAATAAATTCCCTTAGCTAAATCCATAGGAAGTAGTGCTGTCAAATTTCAAACCGAAACCGTTTAACTGCCCGAAACCGACCGACCCAAATGAGAACCGAACCGATTAAAAATCGATTTATTTGAAACCGAAAACCGACCAGAATCGTATTTTAGTAAACCCGAAACCGAATCGACCCGAATAATGTTAAACCGTATAAGAACCGAACCCGTTAACAAACCGAACCGAATATAAACCGAACTGAAAGAAAACCGAACCGTATCTAACCCGAAACCGTTTAAACTGGCAAAAAAACCGCTTACACCGAACCGTTAGCAAACTGCTACCCGTTTGCACCGAACCATTTAAAAACCGAACTGATTGTAAACCGAACTGGTTATAAACCGAACCGTTTATGAACCAAACCGCTTCTAAATCGAACCGTTTACAAACTTTTTTATATAATTAAATGAATTTTTTTTTCCTTTTTTTTTGACGGGGATATAATTAAATGGAAATATTAGAAATCTTAGAATATTTTTTTTTTAAATAGCAAGGCAAATCATTCATTAAGGTCTTCACGATAATCAATGTTCACAAACAAGAGCAAAACAAGCAGGCCTAGACCCTGCCTCAAACTATTAGCAACACTACTGCCTCTAGTCATATATACATTTGAGGTGATGAAACCAAATGAACAAAAAGCTTGTAATATTAAGTACCAAGGCTTGGATGAAGGCGTAATAAATAAAATTAATTCACTGAGACTATTAAGCATATGATTACATTGATTCTGTGAGTAATAATGAAATAAAGATGGGAGTGTGCTATAGTGACATGAATATACTATTAGGCTATGTTTTAATTCAGATTCAACTATAATTTAGTAAACTTGAAATGGAACCGATATGAATAACGTTAAAGTGGTTAAACAATCGAAGAACCGAACCAGTTATAAAATGAACCGAAAAAGAACTGAACCAGTTAAAAACTGAACCGAAAAAGAACCGAACCAGTTATAAACTGAACCAAAAAAGAACCGAACTGTTTCTAACCCGAAACCGTTTCTAACCCGAAACCGTTTCCAACCCGAAACTGTTTGAACCGGGATAAAAACCGTTTACACCGCACCGTTAACAAACCGCAACCCGTCTGCATCGAACCGTTTACTACCCGGACTGTTTACAACCCGAACCGAATTAAAACTGCTTAAGAATAAACTGAAACCGAATCGAACCGATAACTATTTAAACCAAACCAAAACCGACCCGTGAGACAATTAAACCGATTCCAAACCGACCCGATTAAATACCGAACCGATTTCAAACTGAACTGAAACCGAACTGTCAAACCGTTTTGACAGTGCTAATAGGAAGTGTGAAATATCTGTTTGGTTGACACTATGGGAAATAAATTCCCATGGTCAAATACACCTAATTAACCCCAAAATTACCATCCTCTATATCCTCTTCTTTTCTCAATTTCTCTTTATCACTCCTCCCCAATTCTCAATCTGAAAATTTCATCATCTCTCTTCACCCCTCACCTCCACGGCTCCACCACTACAACCACCACTAAAACAAAAATCCGAAATTTTCATCCACAAATTATACTTCTTTCTTTATGAATCTCACAATATATTAAATACCCACTTGATATAATCAAAGTTTGAAGCTTTACAATTCAAATTATACTATTGAATTTGGATGTTAACTTCAATTGGGTGTCTCAAAGTTTCGATTTTCATCAAGGTATTTGCAAAAAGTTTTGATTTTTATGATTTTTGGGGAAAGTTTTGATTTTTATGATGATTTTTGGGGAAGTTTTGTTTTTTATGAAGATTTTTGGGGGAAGTTTTGGTTTTTATGATGATTTTTGTAGTAATTTTTGGTTTTTATGATGATTTTTAGAGCAAGTTTCATGATTTTTAGAGAATTTTTTTTTTTTTTTTTATGAAGGTGGATGACGATGATGGTTAATAATGAAGGTGATGGTGATGATTAAGGCAAAATGATGATGATTATGGTGGATATAAGGAGTAAATAAGTACAGGAATTTTGATTCACCGTGGGAGGAGTCGGTGAATCAATTCCTCCATATTGTGGGAATTTCCATTTCCCAGGAAATCCCATCTCCTACATGAAAAAGGCAACCAAACAACAATTTACTGTAGCATTTCCCAGGAATTTTGATTTCTACCGAAATTAACTGTCGACTCCTTATATTCTAGTAAAGGTAATCTATTAACTTAATAAGGTTGGAACCTTTGCCTAACTAATTCACTTACATCCATTTTATTCGAATTTATGTCATAGGGTGATTACTAATTAATGGTGGGAATCCCTTTAGGACAATACAAATTATAACACAGTACGTACCATTATTACTCTTGGCAGTTGGCACTGCCTTTGGGTGGACTTGCATGTACCCGATTTGTTATAGTGGCAAAATCATTTCAAAATGTATATCAAGCTAAGTTTGGTCTAGGAGGATAGATTGTAGCCTAAAGGTTCGATGATTAATTCTCACTAGAGATATTTTGGACGGGGATTTCTTGCCATTTTTCCTCACTTTTAAAGTATCCTTACAATTATTGGACCAAAAAAATTATAAAGCTAAATACCATGTCAAAATATGTCAGATGTAACAAAGTAGGACTAAACTAGTTTATTAATATTAATTAATACTAAAGTTTGACTTTCAATCAATATGCTTATTAGAATAATATCATGTGCTCAATTATCTTATTTTTATAATCATACGACATGTTTCAATATAAAATTTAATTCTCCCAAATTTATAGATGTAGCTAACACATTATTTAATGATCAACGCTATATAGATGAGTGGATACCATCTTTTAGTTACATTACACATGTATAGTTAGCATCCTTAATAAAGTATAATAGTACTTCTGTTTTATTGACAGGAAGTTTACGTGGTCAGCTATATAAAACAAGCTTCACGTTACTCACAAAGCCACAAGATACTATGTTTAATTCATTATTAAATTACGTAGTAAGGTAGAAAAACCTATAGTTTGTTCTCTTCAATCCTCCCTTAATCTTCGTTCATGCTCTCTACATCCTTCCAATTTCCTTGTAAACTATCCATCTCTCTATCTACTTCCTTCGTTCCCTTACCATGTACCTTGTTCGCTGGCGATCCGCCAGCGAACCGCCTCTCAACAACCTTGTCAATGCGTTCTTCCTCATGTTGTTTTTCTTTGCAGCCTACTTCCTACTATGCTGTTGGAGAGTTAACATACATGATTATGAAACAGCAACGATGCCGGTCCCTTTATCCATTTCTTTGTTTGAGATCATTGTTTTTTTCTCTCTTCTTGCCTCTCTTGTTTACTTCATTGGGTTCTTCAGCATCTACTTTATTCTCCCACGTAAATCTAAAGTAGATGCTGAAGAACCCGTGGTCCCCGCCACCTCAGACTATGTGGAGTCTGTGGTGGCGGTGACTGACATATGGAAAACTGAACCTGAGCAAACCACGGGCAGGTCCGTAGAGGGCCTGCCTGTGGAGGGCTTTGACTACGAGGCTGCGTTCAGGCAATATCGTGAGATGGCGGTGGGGTACGTGCAGATGCCTGTAGGGGTGGTAGGGCCTTTGTTGCTCGATGGGAAGGAGTATTATGTTCCGATGGCCACGACTGAGGGGTGTTTGGTGGCCAGCACCAATCGAGGATGCAAAGCAGTGTACCAATCCGGTGGGGCTTACAGTAGGGTGTTTAAGGATGGGATGACTCGGGCTCCTGTGGCGCGGTTCGGGTCGGCTAAGAGGGCTGCTGAGGTTAAGTTCTTCTTGGAGGATCCTGGAAATTTTGATACCATTGCTGGCATATTTACCAGGTTTTTATGGTTTTATTATAGTATAAACTACTACTAGTCTACTAGTACTAGTAAATGTGCTCAATTTGTTTATAATGTTCATTTTAATATATGCAGATCATCAAGTGGTATTGTAAGATTGCAAAGCATAAAAAGTACAATAGCAGGGAAGAATTTGTACATGAGGTTTAGCTGCAGCACAGGAGATGCAATGGGCATGGATATTGTCTCTAAGGGTGTCCAAAATGTCCTTGCTCACCTTCATGCCCACTTCCCCGACATGGATGTTATCAGCATATCCGGTATATAAACATATACTTGACTTTTCATGGTTTTCAAGACGTATTTTGACTATCCTATCACATGACTTGATTACGTGTTGATATGCATTTTTAAAAAATCTATCTAGGACTAATATTTTTATTAATAATAATTAACAAGATTTTACAGGATAATGTTTTTTTTTTTCATATAGTACAACATTTTACTCATAGTTTAAAGTATATGTTGTTAATATGATGAACTTTGACCTTGAAAAGGTATAAAGTACTGCAATTATTTTGAGACGAAAGGAGTATCACGCCTTTTCAAATAGTTATAATAATAAAAATGATTAATGATTATTTGGTGTTTACATAAATATGGGACAGGAAATTACTGCTCAGACAAGAAACCAGCAGCAGTTAACTGGGTGGAAGGCAGGGGAAAATCAGTGGTATCTGAGGCAACCATAAAGGAAGAAGTGGTAAAAAATGTGTTGAAGACAAGTGTGGAGGCCTTGGTTGAGCTTAACACCCTCAAAAACCTCGTCGGATCGGCGATGGCCGGGGCTCTCGGTGGATATAATGCTCACTCAAGCAATATTGTTAGTGCAATTTTCATAGCAACAGGCCAAGATCCTGCTCAAAATGTAGAGAGCTCAAATTGTATTACTATGCTCGAAGCTATTAATCATGGCAAGGACCTCCATATTTCTGTTACCATGCCTTCTATTGAGGTAATTACCAACATCTTTATCAATATAATACGTTAATAGTAAGGTTTTTAGGACTAATCAACCATCAAAGCTTAAGCTCGAAAATCATGATCATAACTCATAAGTATGAAGCAGGGGGAGTATATACTATATAGTACTCTCTCTGTCTCAGAATATATGACATTGTCAACATTGCACACATGCCAATGCACTAGTTTGACTAATAAATAAAAAGTGAAAAACGTCCAACGTGTCATGTATTCTAGACAGATGGAGTACTATAGTAGACACGACTCATAAGAATGCATATATCGTCTTAAAAATTAATCTTGACGTACAATAGTCACATTCCCATATATATGTAGCTCTGCTACGGAAGAACAAGTTGTTTGTGTTGAAATTAAAGTATTAAACCACCTGATCATATCCTGACAACGATTCCAATTACTGAAACTATGAAAATCTTATTTCATGAATGACACCTGCATATTGTATTTCCATGCATGAACCATCCACTCGTATAATTAGTTATCAAAGTTCAGTCTGTAAATTCTGCTGCTAACAATAGTTTTATCATGTATACCTCGTTGGTCCCTTGTCATAATTTTACGAAAATATCTCAAGCAACCGTTATCTTACGGTGGCACAACGAACTACCCATTAATCAATTAAACAATTACTCTGTATGAAATGAAATTATTATGCGACCATTGTATATCTTCCTTGTACAAAATTGATTTTAGGTGTACTGTCCTATATAATAAAATATTTTTTTTTTTAAAAAAAAACTTTATTATTTATTAATGATTACTTTAATTAGGATAATAAGGATTATATGATTAATAAGAAGAATAATTAAAATGAAAAATTTTCTCAGGTAGGCACAGTGGGAGGAGGGACCCAACTAGCATCACAAGCAGCATGCTTAAACCTACTAGGAGTCAAAGGGACAAACAAAGAAAAAGAAGGAGAAAATTCAAGGGTTTTGGCAACAATTGTAGCTGCTTCTGTTCTTGCTGGAGAGCTCTCTCTTTTATCTGCTATTGCAGCTGGTCAGCTTGTTACGAGCCATTTAAAATACAACAGATCTACCAAGCATATATCACAACTTACTTCTGCATGATTAACGTTCGCTAATTGGGATTATGGACAATCTAATTGAACGTATGTGAATAGTACGAATAAAAATACATTAATAAAAAAAAAAGGTCAAAATGTTACATGTATTAAGAAACGCAAGAAGTATATATAAGAAAGATGAAAAACCTTTATAATTCAATGTTGTTCTTTTTTATACATCAACAAATGCTTTCAACTTTGGATTACTATATTAGAATTCCCACTTGATAAATCAAAATGTTCTACCCAATGAAAATAATAATAGTAGTTAGTTAAAGGGTAATAATCAGAATATGGATGATTTAACTTCACAATATACAAGACTATTATTTGGTAGCCACCACTGTTTACTTTCTAATTTTGTTGATTGTGTTCTATGCCAGATAAACTGTACTTTCCCAAAATTCCAATTGTATTCGAACATAAGCTAGCCCACATTCTTTAAATCACCTCCCATTGGCCATTTTCCTTTTGACTACTCAAGAGTCAAGATACTCTCGCATCCGTAATTAGAATTACTTAGCCTAAATTCTAAATATAACTCGGAAATTGTTGTAAAGATTTTTGTAATATTTTTTAACTCACGTAACTATGTTTTTTTCTTTTCTTTTCTTTAAGTTAGTCAAAGTAAAATTTGTGAATAATGTTAAGAAACAAAAAATGGATGGAATATGACTTGTAATTTCATAAATATTCAAATTACTAATATTAAAAATAATTATCAAAGGTATTCAGAATTATTTTGCCACTTCTTTTTTTTTTTTTTTTTTAAAAAAAATAATTATTTTGCCACTAGATGATCTCAACTCTCAAAGTCTCAAGTGGCTTTGTCTCCTTTCCTACGAAATTCTTCAAATAATTGTAACAAAAAGAAAAAAAAAAAAAAAAACAGTGATTTATCCAAACTAACCAGTAACCACAAAACATGAAAATTTTCCAAGCCTTTTAAATCATCTACATCAAGCTTACGGGTCATAGTAGTATCTTATTTAGAGAATTTTCCTCCCTTTTATTTTTCTATACAGTATACACCCCTTCCACGAAATATCCCTTTTCTAATGTCTTATTTAAGAGAATTAGCATAGCAATAAACCTTCATTTGAAGTCGGACATAAATTTTTCATATCATATTAAGTTACCAGAGAAAAGATGGATATGCAGAGAGGTCACAACTGGCAAGAAAGAGAACTACAGAATGACAAAAGAAGCAGAAGATCAGAAAATGGAAGGTTGAGCAGAAAATCGTCGAGAAAAGAAGCGATCAAGGTTGTGTACATCTCAACCCCCATGAAGGTTACAATATGTTCTTCAAAGTTTAGGGAGATAGTTCAACAGCTCACCGGGCCGGAATCTGACGTGGCGAGGTTCATGGAGAGTTGTGAAAGGGATAGTTGGAAAGTTCCTGATGATCATTAGGGAATGATCACTAACAAAAGTAAACTGGTCAAGACCTACTTCGAGTTTACTAGGGAAAGTTTGTTTAGCCATTGATGATGTTATTGTGCATAGGGAAATGGTGACACCCCAATTTTTGTAACAAAAACACACTTGAACTTGCTAGAATTCTGTTTCTATGTTTTGAAACTCGATATATTTGTGACAAGTCAAATATTATGTACTTGTATATGTTATTATGCTATGCATAATGAGATGGAGATGGAGGGATGTGACAGGGGTTCGAACCTCATCCCCCTAAGGGCTATAGATAAACATTAAATATACTCTTGGAAATTGAATAAAATTATAAATTCATGACAAAAATACGCGTAAATCGGTGTAATTAGTGTTTATATTTTCATGATTTCTATAGCATTTTCCTAATAATAATAATGAGAATTTATTTTTTTGTTTAATTCTTCACTATCACTCTGTCAATAACCATGAGGTCAAAATATGCAGAATAAACCAAAGCAACAGACAAACTAAAACATTATTTGGGGGAAGGAGATAAAAAAGGAAACTTGAATAGCATTAAGAACTGAACTGTTGCAAATAAGGAGTCTATCAATTACAATCCATAAATTATTTCATGAAGAATAGGAGCCTAAAATATCAGGGGCTAAATTTTAGAAACAATTTCAACTGGAAGCCATTCCGTGTCGTTCAATAGTCAATCGCTCTTGCCTTCTTGAGCACCAATTTCTTGCAAGTAATGTTCCGCATCTAAGGCAGCCATGCAACCTGAATCATCCCAATCAAAACTAAGTTTTTTTTCAAAAAAAATGACCCAGAATATAACTCACTAGAGTCCTCTCATTATATGCAAAGCACTTTCAATTACTACTGAGCTAAAACCAATCTATTTCTACTAGCCACATCAAGATATCATTTACGGAGTACTACAACTCTACAAGCAGGCAAGCAGCAGTTATTTTGACTTTAGCACGAAAAACATCCCAAATAAATGGAGAAAGCAATACAGATGGGATGTCGTAGGAAATAGACAGGATAAGTCCTATATGGCTATCTCTCTCATTTGCAGTCCTTTGGCAGTTAAGCAGCAACTTGTCCACTAGTCTTTCGGAATCATCAACCCCACCCCGAAAAAAAAAAAAAAAAAAAAAAAAAAAGCCACGCGCACTAAAGAAAAGAAAAGTTCTGCCTCCGTGAGAGGGGATGGTGTATATTATTTCTCAAATTTTAAAGGAAAGAAAAGAAGATTAAAATGGATGAAAGACATGGAACAGTGTTTACAAGGGGAAAATCCTCGAGTGTAAGTTGACACATGCTTGATAGCTATCCTAGCAAAATCAGGATCGAATTGAATAATGTCCAAAGCTTTATATGTCTACTCCCCTAATCAACCCTAGTGGCTGTTGCCAATAGAGATCCATGAGGAGCTTGGTGAACCATTACTGCCACTTCTAGTGATAATTTTTTCAGCTGATATTCTAACATTCACCTTATCACATAGGTTGATGATTGAACGCATGAAAACATGCATGTCACCTTTCACTAACAGCATACCAGCTACAGAGAACCATTGACATGAAAACAAAGGGGCAGGGAATGATAAATATAGTAGAGAAACCATTGCTTCCTCCCATCCTCTACTTTCAAACACCTATCTGCCCTTCAGCCACATAAAACTACAGAATCTCCAAGTAACAAGGAAACACCTATAGAATTCTCAAACCATACTAAAAACTAGAATGTCTTAGCAAATCCAACATTCTATATGGACACCAGAAAATCAAGACAAAAACATTATGACATATTTCCTTCCAAAGCTCAAGTAAACCCACTCACGAAAGACCATCATACATCTAAAGCTATATTGCAAGCCACTTGACATGTAACAGCACATAAACAAATCAAACCACACCATTAAAAAAAAAATAATAAGGGTGAAAAGCAGAAATTAACCACTGCCATTCTATTCAGCCAAATGCAAAGGATTAACAGCCAAGGGAACTGATATTGGACAGGAAATATAGGATCCTACACTCTCTCTGTGATATTGCAGTGGGAGTGGACATCAACTTATCATCATTAAAATAAACAAGAATCAATTCTCAAAAAACATAAGTGAATTAGCATTTCTTCTGAGTTCATACAAAGAGTATTCTTCAAGTGTGCCATTGCTATCATAGCAATATAGTGAATTGAAACTCAACCTCTCAATGATATAAATATAATCAGTAGCAAATTTCATCCTCCAGGGGCAACAAATAAGGCTAAACCCTTAATGGTCTATAAGCCTACACATTCTTCCAATCACACACAGCAAAAGAAACACCAAAATTCTTCAGACCTCTAAACCTACACCTTCTCCGAAAAACAGAGAAAAAACAGAGTTAAATAACCCAAATTTTCAAAATTCATCCAACCCAACTTGCTAGGAGCTATAAATTTTATTTTATTGCACAAAAGTACAAACAGAACTGTATTACCAAAAACAATTACAATGACAAATGTCCAACCTAAGCTCAACTACACCCATCCCCAAAGTGCATCATACCTCTGGCAACATTGCAATTTCAGCTTAACAAGATTTAGCATCAAAACACAACATTGCAAGTTTTGCGACAACACAAGCAAATCAAACCGAAAAATCACCAACGTCTTGGTAGTAAAATACAGGACAGAGATGTATGCCTAATCAAGGCTCAACTAAACCTATTCTTCCAGGGTTAAGTACACCTCTAACCTATATTATATACACTGCAATCTTAGATTTGTAAACAAACTTTTATGCACACTCTACCATTTCTAGCTTCTTTCCATTATCCCCAGGGGCTATAGCCTATAGGACAACAGTACCCGAGCCCTTCGACCAAGAATCTTGGAGTGGATTATGGATATAAACACTCCCAAACCGCTCAAGAATCTTCCAGCTCGAGTTTGCGACTAGATAGCCATTGTAATGTCTTAACAAATCCCACAATGACATATAATGACCAAACTTAGCTCAAACTAACACACCTAGCAAATAAATCAATTTTCTATATACACAACACAAGCATTCACATAACAAACACAACAATGCAAATATACAATAACACAATACAAATAAAAAACCAAAACCAAAACCATATAAACAAACACTAACCAGTCCCAGCAGCAGTAACAGCCTGCCTATACTTCTTATCCTGAACATCACCAGCCGCAAAAACACCCTTCACACTCGTCTTCGTTGTCCCGGGAACTGTAACCACATATCCATCGGAATCCAACTCAACCTCCTTTCCCAAAAACATAGTAGCAGGTTCATGCCCAATAGCAAAAAACAACCCAGAAACCTGCACATCCTTAACCTCCCCACTAACAACATCCTTCACCTTCAACCCTCCCAAAACCCTATTCTCCTTCTCAACATCCCCAAACGCCTCAACCACCGTCGAATTCCACAAAACCTCAATCTTAGGGTTTTCCAATGCCCTCTTTTGCATAATCTTCGAAGCCCTAAATTCACCTCTCCTATGAATTATATACACTTTGGACCCAAATTTCGTCAAGAAATTCGCTTCTTCCATCGCCGAATCACCACCCCCAATAACCGCCAACGGCCTATTCCTAAAAATCGGCGCCGCGCCGTCGCATACAGCGCAAGCCGATATCCCTTTATTCCAGAACCCTCCATTTTCACCAGATCCCGGAAAATCAAGCTTCTTCGCAACAGCTCCAGTCGCTATAATCACCGAATCAGCTAACACAGTCTTCTTCGCATCACCCCAAAACACCTTAAACGGTGTCGTTTTGAAATCAACAGCAGTCACCGTTTCGGTCTTTATCTCCGTACCGAAACGCACCGATTGCTGGCGAAACTTATCCGTAATATCCAAACCCGAAATCCCTTCAGGAAATCCGGGGAAATTCTCGACGTCGGTGGTGGTTGTAAGCTGTCCACCTGGTGCGATCCCATTGGCCATCCAACCTTCGAAGAGAATGGGCTTGAGTTCGGCCCGAGAAGCGTAGATAGCAGCGGTGTGGGCCGCCGGGCCGGACCCGATGATGCAGAGGCGGGTTCGGATTGCGTCCTTGAATTCCTCCATTGATGAAGTGGTGGGGTTATCAATGGCGGTGGAAATGGCGGCGGAAGAAGAAGGGTTGAGGAGAGGAGGGAGAAAGTTGAAGGATTTTTTTAAAGAGAGTTCGGAGTTTTAGACAACGAGACATTTGGTTGGTTGAATTATTTGAGGGAGACATTTTTTTTAAAAAAAATGGGCGCGTTTCTTTTTTGGGTTTAGGCGCGAAACGGGGTTTTCATTTCCTTTGTTTTTCGTTGTTGGGGCGTTTACATTGGAATTGGAGTGGGAAAAGGAAGAAAGAAAGGTTGTAATGGAATTGGATTCGGTGGTTGCCTGTGGAACAAGTTAAAAATTAGATATCTTTTGGGCTGGGTTTAAGTTATTGGGTTGTTTGTAATTTATAACGAATCTAAGTAGCCAATTAGGGATTATGGTTTTTTTTTTTAATCCGTATCATTTTTAATGGAGTGATCAATGATATTTTGGGGGCGTTTTGTTAAGATTTTTTTGTGAAAAAAAAAGGAAGAAGTTTAATCATTTGAAAAAACATTTGAGTTGTTTGGTAAAGAGCTGGTTAATAAATATTGATGGTTAAAATCGTGTTTTTGCACATGATTATATTATTTGTTACGAAATTTAGTAATTCAATATATTTAATTTTTTTTGCCTCTAAATTATGCTATCATACACACTCGTCCTCATCCACCTCCCATCAAACCATAAAAGTTTAATCCATCAAATCTCAATCTCTTTAACTAATCTTTTTAGACCCTAATCTTTCTGTTGACCCTTATGAGATTTTGATGATGATGTTAAGAATTGAGCAAACTTCCTTTTAATAAGGATTTTCTAGTGTTGTTTGCAGGTTCAGTAGGCGCTCAGGGCTGAAGTAGGAACTGGGACAAAGGAACTTTAGAAGATCCATGAGGACAAGTAAAAGACAGAAGAAGAGTTCCAGTAATGGAACTTCCCGAAGTTTCTCAACAGGAACTTCAAAACGGGTTGTAACGACCTGGTTCCGGTGTGATGCTGGGGCAAGCCTCAACAATCAAGGATCAGTGCAAAGATAAGTTTGTATAAAAGATAAGTTTGTTTTTGTAGGTTGATGTAAGCATATTAATGGTTGTTATGCATGGAACTTATTAGAAATCAGATAAAGCTTGGCAAGATGATTAATTCGTAAAAGATAACTTTAGTTTTATGAAAAAGTACTTAATTGATTTTATCTTATAAAATCTAATTTAACTTGGTTTTATCTTTTTCATAAAATCCTATCTTTTAATTAAAACGAATTTGATAAGATTTGGTTTTTAAATAAAACGAAATTAAATCTGTTTGGTTTCGGTTTTTAAAGAGATAAGATTAGATTTCAGTTTAACTTATCTTGTTTACGAAAACCTTACTTTGTGAGCTGAAGGGCCTCTATAAATGTAGAAGAAATTCAGTGAAGTAAAGTAAGAGTTTTAAGCGTGAAAACCACTTAGTGCTCAAGAGTAAGTTTGCCAAAGGTTTAAGCTTTATCATTTTGATTTCGGGTTTCATGTGTAGCTTTCCATTTATGTGTTAGAGTGTGTCTTTGCGTTGTAATTGGTTTTGGGGGTGAGATTGTGAATTCTCTTAAATTCACGTTTGAGTGTATGAGTTTGAATTCTCTAAAATTCGAGTGGTAGTCAGTCACCCCGAGTATGTCTTGGGTTGCACAGTGGGAAAAAGGAACCTGAGTGTGTCTTAGGTCGAAAAAGGTGCCTGAGTTTGTCTTAGGTCTGATAGGATAGGTTCTTATCAATTAGCAAGTGTCTTAGGAGAAACTTGCGAAGCAAAGGTCTGTGTAATAGGTTGTACTAGGAGAGTTGCCCATTATAGTGGAATTTGTTTATAAGTCCCAATAGGGCCGAGGTTTTACTTCCAGTTAAGCACTGGATGATTTTCTCGTAAAACTTGTTGTGTGCTTTAAGTTTCTTTATGTTTTTATTGTTTATTTCCGCATAAGTTCCGCGATTGGAACCTACTACCATTCACCCCCCCTCTCGTAGTAGTTCATCTAAACTAACACTTTCCAAGGTTTTAGAGCCCCACGTAGGATTATACTTTTTAAATGTGCTACGTACTTAAAATTATAATTTTGTGAAATTAATTAGAGCTTCACGTAGGATTATTATTATTATTATTATTATTATTATTATTATTATTATTATTATTATTATACCAAGGGGGCATCCCATTGCCCCTTCAAATCGGAAGTGCTTCAAACCGCGTCCCATTTGAAGGAAATGAGAAGTGGTTTAGGCTCCTAACCACTGCCTAAACCGCCTCTATAAGTGCTTTGGCAAATAGAACCTCTAGTTGTATTACTCCCTTCGTTTTTAAATATTTGTTCCATCTCCATGTGTTCTCCATGTGCATAGTTTTAGGAAAAAATGGAGAAAATAATAAAATATGGAGTTAGTGGGGTAGGTGACAGAATAAAAAATTATAAAAAAAACAAACGTAGTTGAGAGAATTAGAGGAGAGAAAATATAAAATTAATAAAATATGATTTATGTTGGGTCCGCTAGTTGAGATAAATGGATTAAATATAGTAAAAGTTTTTCGAATAAGGAAATGAAGCAAGTATTTAAAAACGTCCAGAAAAAGAAAGTAAAGCAAGTGTTTAAAAATAGAGGGAGTAGTTGTGTCTGTACAATGAATGGATTATTTGAAGGTTAATATAAACGTGACTTTGAATTTGAGTACTAAAGTTTGAGCAGTTATATATATGTGAAAATAAAATTAAATCTGTTGATAACAATAACGATTCAAAAATATAATTAGATGAAAGTTTGAGTAGTTATATATATGTCACTAGTAACCGCTAATGAAATTAGCTTAATGGTTTATTTTTAGAAAACCACTATTATAAATTTATTATTAGCAAGGTTTTAAGCTCGGACAATTTCAAAAATAGAAACTCTCACCAATCATATGTGGTTGGTACAATGGAAATTATTTTTAAATAATCAACGCATATAAGAAATTAGTTTACATTTTTAACATTAATCACAAACACCGCTCATTTTAAGACTTGTTTAATTCACGAGATTTTTCACTCGTGTTATGATAATCCAGATAAGATAAGACCCAAAAAAAAAGAGTTGTTATAAATTGTTACAAACGTTATGCGTGCGTGTTAATAGTTAGTAAATGGTTATCCCGATTTGATACTCCGTATCCAATAAGTTTAGATACGTACGTTTTAGACAATTATAATTAATTGGTAGAAATCAAATAATTATCACAGTACAAAATTTACCACACTCTTGTAAAAATGTGGAAGTACATGGTTGCTTGTGCAACAATTCTTCAAAAATTTCTATAAATACTCCTCTAGTCTTTCCTAGTCTTACCATCATATTCTCTCACACTCATTTCTTCTCAATTTTCTCTACTCTCCAAACACCTCCTTCTTCCTTCAACTGCAATGGCTTCCTCCAAAAAGATAATCCTCAAGAGTGCTGATAAAGAGCTTTTCGAGATCGCCGAAAACGCAGCAATGCTGTCTGAAACCGTCAAGAACATTGTCGAAGCAATCGGCGAAAGCAACGATCCAATTCCACTGAAAAATGTGAGCTCGAAAATTCTGTTGAAGATCATCGACTACTGCAACAAACATGTTGAGGAAGAGAATAATGATGTACTCAAGCAATGGGATGCAGATTTCCTCAATGTTGACCAGGATATTCTCTTTGATCTCATTCTTGTGAGTATTAATTTTCTTTCATCCATCTTCTTCATTTTGCGTCATTTTCGTTTATTATTTCAATTTCTTTCGTTTGATTTTGTTTAGGGCTAATTTCATGATTAATTATTTTATTGTTTAGAGCTTAGGGTTTTCGTGTGTTTTGATTGTGTAAGATTTAGGGTTCTGATGTATGATTGTTTATCTAATATTATGATTAATTATTCTAATTGTTTTAGCGTTTAATTTAGTGTTAACTTGGGTTTTAATTATTTTGTGACTAGAGTTCTGAAGTATATTAATAATTCCTTGTTTCGTTGTAATTTTTTGGGCTTAAATTAGTTTTTAAGTTACAAGAAATATTCGGCTAAATTTTATGATTAAATCTGAAATTTAAGTAAGATTAGGTGTTTTACGTGATGACAAAAGCAAATTTGAGTGCATTACTAGAGTTTATCTTGTTAGCGATCTATATAATTAATATCAAGGTGTTAAGAATATAGAGATTATTTTATCGTAGAATCAAATGTATGTGGAAATATGATTTTATGATGTATTGAATTTTGAATTTGATGTTACTGTATAATATTAGATTAATTTTTATGATGATCGACATATAATATTGAGTCCAACTTTTGTGCTTAGAAATGCCTGAGTTGTTTGTGAATATTGCAATGTGTTAGTTAACATATATACGTGATCGATCGATATACATTTAGGAAATGTGTTCCTGATTTATATAAATTATCATGATCGATTTATAAATTAATTATGTGTATGTGGTGGATGCAGGCTGCTAATTACATGGAAATCAAGAGTTTGCTGGATTTAACTAGTCACTGTGTTGCTGATATGATCAAGGAAAAGACACCTGAGGATGTAAGGAAGCTATTCAACATCAAGAACGATTACACACCTGAAGAAGAGGAAAAAGTTCGCAAGGAGAACCAGTGGGCTTTCGATTGATAGCAATGGTCATTTTACTCATTTACCAGTCACAAACTGTGTTTCTGAATTACCTGCATATTGCTGTAGTGTTGTAGTGCTGTAGCACAAACTATGTTTACTGCTTTATCAGTTTATCGTATCTACTTTCAAGTTTATTACCAAGTATAATTTTGTGTGCAATTTATTCTATTTCTAATTGATAACAATGCTTACTAAAGCTAGCTCTGTTCAATACTAGCTTGAATTTAATGTGTTTAACCTGCAAATTGAAATTGTTGCGGACATGGTAAAAGGAAAGACAATATACGTGATAAGTAGTACATCTATTTAGATAATGACTAATATGATTGCCTGAGGATGTAACAGAAATTAACAAGGTATATTGTAGGCCTTCAAGTAGTGAAATGAAGTAGCTAGTTTTCATGGCTAATATCTTTCTTGAGGATTGTATGCCCTGTTTTTATGTTAAGTCTGCATAAATGTTAACATATAAGGGGTCTGTGTTGATACAAGGGAAGGCAGCTAGTTGAGTTGGTAGCTGATTTGGGATTTGTTTTTTGAACTGCATTAGGGGAGGAGCTTGGGTCTTGGGAGGAGGATAGTTTACGTGGATTACGAGTAGGCTGGTTGTCATGCTTGTTACAACACCTCAAAGTGAGGGCTATAAGCTAATAAGCCTATACTCTGCATGACATTCAGAAAAAATATTTGGCTTTCAACATACTATGACTGTACCTTTGTGGCTTTGTGCTCTAGACTTGTATTCTACTTCGGTAGTCATTGTAGGCTGAGACTCAGAGTATAGGTCTTTATTTTATCTTACCTTCTTCTACTTGTGTATTTTCATTACTGAGATAAAAGGAGAAAGTATTTTCATACAAGACAGTTAAGTTACGCCTTCATCATTATAATAGAAATATTACGCCAACTGCGAGGGATTAGTACTAATATAGCCCAAATTAATCTCCACTCCGGCTTACAACAAATGGACTTCTCACTAAGAATTTGTTGCTTCTCCATGTGATTGCATGCCCCGAACAAATCTCCCATAACAGAAGAATCAGAAGTGGAAAATGTAACCATGTATTCCAACTTCTTGGTATTCAGCTGGCTCGATGTCATAAATTAATCCCGGATGTAATCCCCCAGTTGATCGGGTTCACCTCCCCTGCTCCAAGATCATATGGTGTGGCTGCCTCATCAAACGATTGTGTGGTAATTGGCCTATATATGTTATTGGTTTGAGTTGCTGCCATTGAAGTAATCACTTTGTAAGTATATAGTTTCCACTTTATTCCCTAGACAAAATAATGTCTGATGAACTAACAAGAAAGAAGAAATGAACAGCTTGTTTACATGGTCGTATCGGATTGATCGATGATTAAAATGCATGGATCGAAAATTATGAAATGTATATGAAAACATATATAGTATAAGAGCTAGAGGATGTGAGAGTTTCGACGTGTATCAACTTCTTAATTGATAAACTTTCATACACTTCAAAGATCAATGTCCAACAAAATTTTGGAGACCAAGGATGTTATCACGTTACTAAAGTGACTAGATCGATACTACATTTTTGTATAGAAGAGCAGGTAGGCTGATGAGTTGATGACAATTTTAGTACTGTCCAATGATTTTGTACATGTAATGCAAAACTTAAAGCATTGTCTTTGTCCAATTAATTATGCTAATTGGGCGATTAGTATATGGTGAATAATTTGAACCTATTTTGTTAGAATAAGTTACACTATTTGTGTAATTAAGACGACCACCTTGCTCTTATCATCATAAGACTTTCTAGCATGTGATCGGGTTGGGTTTGGGGGAGGAGGGGGAGAAATTGGGATAAGGTTACATGGTTGCATTGACTCATTGGGCCAAGGTCGAGAAGAGAGAAGTTGGGAAAGAATGAATCACATGTGTTTTGTAATATAATAAGACGGTCTTATATTAAAATTTGTATCATCATTATAAATGTTTTGAAGGTCAAGTACCTAGTTCGTAGAAGAGTATGTACCATGCGTGTGGTACATACGTTTTATTTTTTAAAAAATAAAATATTAAAGACGAAATTGAAAATCCGTTTCTAATTTGAGATGAAATTAAATCTAATTTAGAGACGGAATTTAAACTCCGTTGCAAATTTGGCAACCGTACTAATGATACCAAAAAAAAAAAAAAAAAAAAAAAAAAAAACTTCTATTATCCCGGAAGTATACAAATGCATATGTATGTAACAATGTAAATTCAAAGGCAATCGATCATATGACACAAATTTAAAAATAATTCTTTAAGATGGTCCTTGGTTTCATGATATGATGAACAGTCAAAAAGCAAAAAACAATTCATAGTTTAATTTTCTACAATCTTCATTCAATTTCAACAAAAAGTAGTTCCTCCACTTCCTTTACAATTTTCTATCATTCAATTTTTCTAAATATAAGTCTGTAAAGTCGTACATACATTATTCTTATTATTTACTACTAAAATTGTTTTAATTAAAGGTTAGTCAAATAATTCAACCATATTAGGTGCTGGCTAAACAGCTTTATTTGATTCTTCATTCCCACCAACCAACCCTTAAACTCCCTTAAACTCCGGAACATTTGCTTCCCTAGATTACTGCATAATTCATATGCAGCCCCCAAATTTCAACCAACATTAACATGATTATTCATTCATTAATCATCATTTTTCTTCATACTTAACTATTAATGTCTAATCCTTTGACAATGCTTAACCTACCCGACCATAATCAAGTTTTTCTAATTCTATCACTTCGTATTAGTAAACTCTTGTTCGATCTTGTTCTTTTGATACGCTCACATACATTGACACTGATGCGGAGTACTAGAGATTATAGAGTATGTGCATAATTAATTGAAAATGATTGAACAAATTAAAAAAACAAGCGCGAAAAATAGTTAAGTTGTCTCAAATATTTTAAATGATCATTGTTAGAAACTAGAAATCTAAGTCCTTAGCTTGTCCTCCTACTAGACACTTGATTCAAATTCCAACAATGATCACTTAAACTATTGAGGTACTAGTACCATGAAGTATATATGTTTAAAACTATAAAGGATAATTTAAGATAAAAACGAAGATAAGCTGATTAAACTACTCTGTATAGTAAAAAATAATCATATTTTTTGTCTTGTTTTTACTTTAATATTCAGTCCGGTCAGTAGTTTAATTATACTTGACCATCCGTTACCGAATTGAAAGTTACAAAAAAAATAAAACAGAATAGGGATGAGTGAAAACAAAACAATGAATGAAGAAACAATAATAAGTACTTAATTACTGGTTTACTGCAGCTAAAATGGAGCTTTCTTCTTTGTCTTCTACTTTTTTTTTCTTTCTTTTACTTTTTTTTTTTTTTTTTTCTAATTTTATTTTAGAGTAATTTCTCTCTCTCTCTCTCTCTATTTTTATTTTTATTTTTATTTTTATTTTTTCTCTGCAAGAGTTATAGGGTGTTTGGTGGTAACTGGTAAACTATCTAAAAATGAGTCACTAAACTTGTAAAGTGTAAACACTTGTTCATATTTGAAAATATTGCAGCACGCACACTAATTTAATTTCACTCAATTATATCCATTTATAACAAAATTACATGATTTTTTTTTCAAACCAAAGTTTCAACAAAATTTAAAGCACCATCTACCAAATTTACATATCCCAAAACTTAACCTTCTAAATTAAGGGATTTTTTTTTTAAAAAAAAGGAGAAAATTAAAAGGGTTGGTAATTAACCCAGAAAATAAACATGAATATCTACAAAAATTGTTCATATCTAATCCAAATATTAAAAAAAAAAAACCAATAATAATTAAATATAGTTTAAGAAAAATTATCTAAGAGCAGCAACAATGGGAGCAGCTTCATTTTCATCAGCAGAATAAGAATTACGCTTAATAAACTCCAAACAATCTGCAATAGCTTCAGTATAAAAGGAGTTGGTCCGACCCAAAGACCTTAATCTACAATCCATTTTTCTCTGATCTTCTGATATTAATCGACTTTTACCATGATTACTGCCATTGTTACTGCTATTCGTATTGCTGTTGTGGTCAATAGTATAACAATTTCTTCTCCCGCTTGATACCCCTTTCTTGAAAGATTTTACGACGCGGTCGTAGGATTTCCTCCACTTGAACAACACCCTGAAGAAATGAATGAACCTTACCCTTAGTCTTTGGATGGACAACTTCTTAATGTTGAGCCGAAAACCTCGAAAACTGTTGTTACACCTTGATGTTGTGCCTATTACTCTTTTGTAGCCTGTTTCATGATTGTTGTTGCTCATTTCTACAAACTTGTTGTTGTTGTTGTTGGGTTTTTTTGAAAGAGAAAATAAAGGGTGGAGGAAAGGTTTGAAGGAAGACTTTTTAAGGAGTGAGAGCAGAGGGAAAATATAAAAAGGAAGAAACTTGGAAATTTGGTTTGGTAGGATGTTTTTTGGACGGTTTTCAATAAGAGGGGGACTTTCTAGGGTTGTTCACTAAGCACAAAACATTTACTGATTAGTGTTTACTAATTGCCTTTTCATTAATTATTTCTTTATTACTTTGCTAATCATGTTGTATTGATCATTATTATATTATCATGCTAATAATGGATTTTACCTACCATTATCATGCAATTAACTCTTGACTGCAACTCTAGCTTGAAGTTAGTGTTATTTGAATTTGAATTAGGTAAATGAAAATGCCGTGTGTAGTAATTATCTTTGTCCACATAGTGTTAGTTTACTTACCTCCTGACCCTACTCTAAGTCTCAAACTGTTAAAATTACATTGTTTTGAGCATCTATGAACAATGATATCGCAACTTCATAATATTTGACTACTTAACTACTACATAATCCCATACTCTCTCTCTCTCTCTATATATATATAGTATAGATAGATTGGTTCGCATGAATTGTATAAAATTAGAATAACATTTTCAACTCCATCAATCTTACGGTCAAAACTTTAATTTAGTTCATACTACTTATTGGATTTAGTGATGATTGAACAAAAATAATAATGTATGAAAATACATATTACCAAATTGTAGTTCAAAACTTATAGGCCCTATAGAGTTTCTTAATATTTTGTGGTTTTGTTAATATCTTCAATTATGGGTGACATTAAGTTAATCATGCACATATCTCATCTTTAATTTTATGTATTATTATTAAAATTATTGTAAAATACTGTAAACATTATGTCACAAAACTTTCTTGGGCACTACCTCCCACACCCACGTACAAAAAAAAAAAAAAAAAAAAAAGGAAAGAAAACAATATTGATCAACCAATTTTGTTTGAGCATAATTTGTCTGGTCCAATTTGAATTCGATCTTGATGAAGTTAGGTTCGAAAAAGACTTATTTCACGTGTAAACAATATTTTTCTTTAATTAAATTTGTTTTTATTAAGATACTTTCCCATTTTATTTGCAACATATTTGGGATAAAATCTGACAAAAAATCCTGTATGATTTCGATAAATATATAATAATAAAATTCTAATAATAATAAGTAAAATTTGGGAAGGGTGGAGGGGACAGAACAAACCTAAATCAAGAAGAACAAGTGAAGAAGACAAACATCATAATATACCAATCTTGTTCAACGGTTTGTTACCGTACGTGTTCGTCAAACCAACGTTAATCGATCTTATGTGTACACAATTGTACACCCTCTTCTCATCTCAAAATAAATAAATTAATATATAAATCGGCTCAATAACCTATAATTACTTGGTACGAAGTATTTAAATAACAAGGAGGGTAGGGGAGGATAAGGAAATATCTAGTCATGTATTATATCTAATCGGGTTTGATCTCACGATCTCATATATATGAGATACAATCCTTATCACTAAATTAAGTATTCACTTGATTTAATCTTTTTATGATCAAAGTTTTTTTTTTTTTTAATATTTTTTTAAGGATATTTTGAAAATTTAATGATCAAAATTACATAGCTTGCAAGTGTTAGTATACATAATTGCTGTAATTTTACAGAAATGGATCAGTGTCATTTGTCAACAGCTTACGAGGATCACTGGTCCACTAATGAAATTTCATTAGATTAATAATTCATTCAGCTATTATTGGTTAGATTACATTATCTGAAAATATAAACTAAATAGGACTTGTTCATACTACGAATACTATATACAGTATTTGCATAATACTAGTATATTAATTTTAAAAAAGAATAGGCCATTGTAAGTTTGTGTAAGAATCAGATGCACTAGTAAATCAATTGGCAAAATATTGTCACCCATTAAAACATAAGTGCCATTTCAAAGCACAACACACACTGATAAAATACTACTCCCTCCGTCCCCAAAAGTTCGACTTTTTTGGTCTAATTTTAATCCCAAATCTTTTCAATATACTTTTATTTAACTTTCTTAATATCCGTGAAATCAACCGAAAATGGTCGTTTTTTACTTCTTTAGTGGACAGAGGGAGTACATATATAGCCATCTAGAACGAAAAGAGTTTTTTTTTTTTTTTTTTTTTTTTTGACAATAAAAGTCCCTACTTGATACTATGCATAGAAGTATAGAACACATTTTGTATTAGTGGAGGCTTTATTTTACTCATGTACAATTCATTTTTATTTTACACAAAATAAAGTTCGGACAATTTATATAATACCTCCGTTACATATTATTTGTAACGATTTGACATAAAGTAGAGAGGAAAAATGTCTAATCGTTGCAAATAATATGTAACGGAGGTGTATAAATTATTATTAAGTTTAAGAAAATAAATAAGAAAAAACAAATAAGTTTAGTATAATTTCGAGATACAAAAGGCTTTTGATCAATTAGCTCAATAAATAATCAGTAAATTAAACTTCCTCATCAAACTTTTGCTTTAAAAATAAAAAAGTACTCCAATTCATACTAAACTTTAATAATTTCAAATACATTAAAATAGATTACTGATAAGATTTATGTTGTCCTTTACAAATATCACAATCTTAATACGACATCATGAATGTATAAATTATAATTATGCAACCGTGTTCAATTTTTAATTTGATTAATTTAATTGCTGTCTTTTGCAATCCAGTTCAGAATTGTGTAAACAACATTCATACATGAACTACAATTTGTCGAATGTTGCTTATAATACTCTGTAACAATCAAATTACGTACATTTGTACTTTTGTAGCGTACAACTAACATTGTGGTGTATGGACAAATGCTTAATCTATATACTAATCTTAGCCTAAAACTCGCTTACACTATGAATTTGAACCGACCATGTTATTAATAGCTTTATTTTATGAGTGTTAACAATTAAATTAAAGGAAGGTGCACATCACTTAGCTAGCTATAGCTAGCAGCCAATGTTATTGCATATTCGGATCGGAATAACATTTGATTTGGACGGTAAGCCTACAAATAGGCTACACTATTGCAATCAACAGTCGGAGTATTTAATATCCCGACAAAAAAAAAATATATTCCGTCAAAATACAGAGAGTGGTAATTAGATTTTTAACAACAATGATATACGTAATATTAAGAGATTCGATCTCATGTCTTAGGTTGATTTATAGATTTGTACTTATATTTCATTTACATCATTTGGTGTTTGTATAGTTTTCTAAAACTAATTTTAAAGCCCTGTTCACTTCACCTTAAAAAAAATAATATTAAATAAAAATAATTTCAGTTTAGTAAAAATAAGTTCAGTTCAGTAAAATTCAGTTATCTTAAAGAAGAATTATAATAGAAAATTAGTAAAAATAATTTCAGTTTAGCAAAAATAATTTGAGTTCATTGAAATTAATTTAAGTTCAGTATAAATAATTTAAGTTTAGCAAATATAATTTTGTTTCAGTAAAAATAATTTCAGTTCAGCAAAAATAAGGTGAAGTGAACGAGGCTTAGTTGGTTAAAATCTTGATAGTACGTGATCGAAACCAAAATCGGAGATCAAAACCCGCCCATATTATTGCTCTTGATGGTGCTCTATGCCTACAATGGCTACAAATAAAATCATCAAAAAAAAAAAAAAAAATAAATAAAAAAATAAAGAGAGAGAGAGAGAATCATCTTCATTCTTTTCTACATAGGTTTTTTATTAGTTAGAAAATAAAAATGAATGGAGATAACTAATTTAAGGAAATGTCACCATAAATATTTTGTTCAATGAAAATGCGTCAATTTCTAGATTATAGTAAGCACCATGAAATCTAACATTGGGGGTGTGATTAGGGGTGTACACCGGTCCAAAACCGGACCGAACCTGGACCGGACCTGTTTGGACCGGGGACCTGAATTGGGTAATTATGAGGACCGGGGACCGGACCTGAATTAACAGGTCCGGTTCCGGGCCAGACCTGAAAAATCAGGTCCGGTCCGGGTTTGGACCTGAATTAACAGGTCCGGTTCCGGGCCAGACCTGAAAAATCAGGTCCGGTCCGGGTTTGGACCTGAATGGACCTGTTTTGTGTCTTTTTCGTTTTTTTTTTTTAATACAAAACCTGTTGGACCTGCATATGGACCTGTTTTGTGATTTTTAGACCTGTTGCATAATTTAATAATTACATACAAACCAAAATTATCAATTACAAAACTACATAAAGTGTATAAAGTCCCGATTCTCAAACACCAAAAATACAAATGAGTCCACCGAAAATACAAATAAGTCCACGAAAACTCAGTTTCAATTTTTCAGAGTTTGGTTTTCTTCTTCTTTTTTTTTTTTTTTAATTACGATTTTCCCGGGTTTCAGGTCCGGACCTGAAAACCCCGGGTTTGGACCGGGTCCGGACCGGGACCGGGAACCTGGATTTTTAAGAACCGGGACCGGACTTGAATCAACAGGTCCGGGTCAGGTCCGGTCCGGTTCAGGTCGGTTCAGGTCCGGTTTCAGGTCCGGGCCAATTTTTGTACACCCCTAGGTGTGATATCTTCAATTTGCTTTGTATTATCTTAAGTTATCTAAATTTATTCAAAATGATATAAACTTATTTTGTTTGAGCATGTAAATATACTTGTATATTTATGGAGGAAAATGACGAAAGAATAAAACCGTTGTTCTTTAGCCAATCTAATCAGATCCAAACTCAAACCATACCATACCATCCCATTTACATTCTTGAGTTGAGCATGCATGGGAACTTGCAGGTTGGTTGGATGATTTTACCCAAAGATGAATTGCATCAGTGGAAGAAACATAACTATACTCGTACTTCTGAGTAGCAGCTCGATTAATTTAGCTTAACATAGCAAACCAGCCTTGACAAGCTAAAATCGTACTCCTTTCACTCCAACTTGAACCACCACGAAGGCCTGTTTTGATTTACAGAAAACAGTTGAAATGAGCTGATTGCAGCGTAACTGAACTAAATTGAATTGTTTATGAGATAAGGATATTAGAAACTGCATTGAACTGATTAGAGCTAATAAACTGAATTAAATTGAAATTAAGCTGAACAGAACAAACCCTGACTCATCTATCCTATCTGCTAGAAGATGAATTCATGCTTCACGGATCAAATTACTAGCTCCAAGCTAGCTCAAGTTAGCCCAAGCTCATTTTGACCTAATTTTACCAAAAAAAAAAACAAGAGACCAATTTATTGACCCAAAGTCCCAAACACCCAATGGGCCACCTCTTGAACATAAATCTCCCAAAATCACAAAAAACCTCAAACTTAACTAGTTAACTAACCCGATTTCAGAAATTAACAGCTCATCACTTTAATTTCAACTTCACTATGCAATTCGATGCAGATTCTTCTGCATCATCAACAACTGCAACCAACATTCAATCTCCACCCCCAATTCAATGGCCGCAAGACGGAACCCTAACCCTAGAATGGGTCCTTAATCTAATGTCCTCTTTCGATTGGTCTTCGCGTAATCTCTCTCCTACTGATCTTCCCTCCATTCTTCCGGTCCCTGATTTCGATAAATTAATCCTTTGTGGCTCGAAGATTCTTCACAAAGAGCCCAATTGTGTGAGAATTGACGATATTTCTTCCGATTCTAGGGTTGTTGTTGTTGGGGATGTTCATGGGCAATTGCATGATGTAATTTTTTTGCTGAATGATGCTGGGTTACCTTCTGATAATCGGATTTTTGTTTTTAATGGCGATTATGTTGATCGAGGTGCTTGGGGGTTTGAAACGTTTGTGTTGCTTTTGGCTTGGAAGGTCTGTTCATGGTAGTACCTTTTTATCTTTCTGAAATTTTACTCATTTAATTTTCAATGTTTGCTTTTATACTAATTTGATTTTGATCATTTTGTTCTGTGTTTTTTGAATTGAGTTTGAAATTGATATTATATTGTTCTTATTTTTGATCAATTTATAGTCATGTTATTCTGTTATTGTACATTGGAGTTTAATTGTAGTTATCAAGCTGGTTGCTTTACATATTAAATGGTTGGGACTTGGATGTGCTACTTGGTTTGAATTTGATTTTGATGAATTGGCTTGGCTCTGGTTAATTTGTATATGTAATATTAGTTCATTTTCGTTTCGGTTTCGGGTCATTGTGCTTATCTGTTATCACCACTTAGGTTAGTGCTATAGTTTGGTGGCTTAGGTAAATCTCTATGCTTGTTTGGTGAGTAATTCAGACTTTTGAGGGACAGAGATCGGGTTAGCTTGTACGTGTTATCTTATGTATCTAGAGATATTTTGCCTTTTGAAAACGATATTATATGTTGATATATTATAGATAATACGTATTTGCCCTATTTTCTAAGGGTTATGGAAATGCCCTCATTGAGTTATTGGAGAGAGGTTAATAAGTATACGATATGTAATTCGGTAGATGGAAAGCTAGGCCTTGGATTGGAAGTGGGTAAGATTATCTGGAAATAATGAAGATCAAATGCCAAATTTATGGAATAGCTTGGACTTCTAAACTCCTATGTTGGAGCCTAAATGTGAGTATATTTGATGCACTCATTGAGGTATTGAAGAGAGGTTAATAAGTATACGGTATGTGATTCAATAGATGGAAAGCTAGGCCTTGGATTGGAAAAGAGTAAGATTATCTTGAAATAATGAAGATCAAATGCCAAACTTATGGAATTGCTTGGACTTGTAAACTCCTATGTTGGAGCTTAAATTTGAGTATATTTTTAGCATAAGTCAGTCGATGAGCTGCCTGGTGGTCTTTTATGGATTCTCATTCATCTTTAGTTACGTTTTCTTTGTTGTGTAACTCATGTCATAGCCAATGATACTTTTTTTTTTTTCAATTTAAATATCTTCAGCTTCTTAGTTGCTGAGGTGTTTCTAAGCTGGGATATAAATAGTGGCTTTATAGATGGCCTGAAGGCCTTGAACAGCATTTTGGACTCTGGAGCAGAGGAGCACTTTTAATTGTTAATTAGCTTGTATGAGCTCATAATGTTGTTTTTCTAGCATAAGTGGTCAATGCAATTTATAGATGGACAACTTAGGTGGCCTAAGATTTTGTTGATTGCTTTTTTTATTTTTATAATTGAGGTGTTGCACCAAACATGGGCATCTCTAAATGCCTCGGAGGGCTGAAAATTGGGAGAGGGTTTGGGGGGGGGATTCTTCATTCATTACAATACACTTTTCTTTTCTAATTTTTATTTTATTTTTCCTTGTTAATTCATTTTTATGCATTCTTGTAAAACAACATATTTCCTTTTCAGATTTATTTGCCCAATCGAGTATATCTTCTCCGTGGAAATCATGAGTCCAAATATTGCACCGGTGTTTATGGTTTTGAAAAAGAAGTTATGACCAAGTATGGCAGTCAAGGGAAGCATGTCTACCGCAAGTGTTTAGGTTGCTTTGAAGGACTTCCTTTGACAACTGTTATAGCTGGTCAAGTTTATACTGCTCATGGAGGAATTTTCAGGAGTGTAACTGCTCCTCCGTCCAAAAGAAAACAAGGCAAGAAAAGAAACCGAAAGATTAGTATCAATTCTGAGGAAAACTCTGATGACAAGTTGTCACTTGGCTCCTTTGAGGAATTGTCTAAAGCTCGAAGAATAGTTCTGGACCCTCCTTGGGAAGGTCCAAATCTGATACCCGGAGATGTATTGTGGTCTGATCCTTCACCGAAACCTGGCCTTTCACCAAATACGCAGAGAGGCATTGGACTTTTATGGGGTCCTGATTGCACTGACAATTTTTTGAAAAAGTTCAATCTGAAGGTGACTGTCAATCTTCTTATTCTCCTAGTTTTGTTCAGTTTTTAACTTATTGCAAAATGATGATTTAACCAGTAAAACAATGAAACGCATAGGTCCCCTTCTAAGCATTAGAAGTTGTACATTGAAACCACTGGTTGTGAATCTTGTGATGCAGAGATGGAGCATCTAGCAGACATTACATTGAGTTGCTATGACATATTCCATTTTCATCAGCTCAAATGAGACATAGTTAATTTCAAATATTGTCAAATATGTTAGCACCTTGATTAACTGGAGAAATGCCGGGTTTTAGTTATTTTAAAAGCTGAAGTTATAAAGAAGCATTCTCCTCTGGAACTTTACTAGTTTCTTTGTGTAATGACTACCATAACCGACCACTAAGGTTGCGCACTGGTCCATGTGATAAAATAATAGCCAGTAGCAACTAGCAAGTATCACGGCATGATTTTCCAAACCATGTCACATATTGGTTCTGTACCAGAACTACTTCTTTTATGTGGGTCTATTAGAGCCACTCTTTATTCATCAGTTAACGATAGTGAAGTTGTGTATTGAGTCCCCCTGGGGTCCTAACCATGCATCTGTGTATCTTGACCTCCTATATCCGTGATGAGTGGTGCTGTTGTGTATTCGTAAAGCTTCTTGTTCCATAATGATAATAGAATAATCTGACATTCAATTTAGCACTTTTGATGGAGATAAGATGGTTGTCTCTGTTAGCTCATTATAACTGTTGGGTGCAAAATTTGATGTGTTATTTATTATGCCCTTTGCTTTTGAAGTTTATTGTTTGGGATTTAATGTGATTGTCATTGAAACATTTGCTCTATTTTCTCTGGTTTACCCAACTAGTTGTAACAACTGTTTACTAGAGTGCTAGTATTGAAAATACCATTGACATTTGTTTTATGATAGTTGATTATTAGATCACATGAAGGCCCGGATGCAAGGGAAAAACGGCCAGATCTTGCAGGAATGGATCAAGGCTACACAATTGATCATGATGTGGAGTCTGGAAAGGTTATCACTCTGTTCAGTGCTCCAGACTACCCACAGTTCCAGGTAATTTCCATTCCTGATATATCCTGCCTTTTCTATATCTGTTTTCATGTATTATACTCCGTATGTTTTATTCTTACAGTTTGAATTTAGGATAAAAATGTCATCTGCTCATGCTTGATGTTCCTTTTTTGGGAAGTTTGTCAAGGTTACTGATTAAAGCATTTGTATGTAAGCTCTTGTTTTTCTTATCATGGAGAACATTCTTCCATGTGCTAACTCCTCATCATGGGCTATCAACATTATTTGATGCCTTGCTTTTTTGATATTTTAAGGCAACCTGTGTTGCACTTGCCCCTGCATGTGCTCTTTATCTGCTATAGGTATTCATTCTGTATCCTTATTAAAAAAAAAGTAGCATTAGCGGCATCTTATTACACCTAAATGCAACTAAGTTTTTGAAGGAATTTTTATTTTATTTTATTTTAATACAAAAATAATGTTTCCCAAAGTATATATTCTCGAGATTCTCCTGGTTTATACTCCATGTGGCTTATCTTAAGTTGTTTAATTATGATTGAAGAAACAGTGTAATTCTTTCTGATTTTGGAGTAAGGGCAGAATTTACAGATTTTTGCTTTCTAATAAGTTAAAATCCTGTACCTTAAGACTTAAGTGATATGCTCCTTCTGTATCAAATTATAAGATCGGTGACGGGCCTAGCCATAATTAATATTGCAACTGGAAAATATTCCTTGCAAGAAGATTGTCTTAGTTGAGGATCTTGCAGTGCAAGCTCTCCAGAATTTTAATTGGCTAAGTTGAAACTCCTGCCCATCCCCAGACCAATATGTGTATGGCACTCAATTTATTCAGGTATTGATGGTGAAACTAATAAAATGTCATGTCCTTTTGAAAGTGGACGAATAGGATGCGATTTATATTGTCTAAATCTTGAAAATGTAGGTTAATATAAGTATAATGTCCATCCTCTATATATTTTTTTTCCTGGTAAGTGTGGATGGGGTAAGGTCTTCCCATAGTTACGGAATAAAAAGAATCTAGTTTTATTGGTGAAGCTTGAACAAAAACTTTCAACAGGTGAATGCACCATGTAGCTTTTTTATTGCAAGTCTTTTTGACCCTACCTTGATGCCTAGTTGTTTTAAACATAGAAGATGTGAATGAATTTAGTTACTTCTTTTTATGCTGGTGCAAGCTAGATGTAAAAGCTCCTTTAAAAAGTTGGTATATCACACTGATGATTGAAATATCAATTGACAAAGAGGCAATAAGAAGCTTTTTCAAGTGCTATTTTTGGTGTGCAGTTGCATGTGTAGGTCATGTATTATTAAGTTGTAGACTGCCTTTAATTTTTTTTTGGAGATTTGGAGTGCTCTATATTGGAACTAAATGATAAAATTTACAACAAAGTTTCTTCTATTGCAGGCAACAAAAGAGAGATATAGAAATAGAGGAGCATATATTATGCTGGAGCCTCCTAATTTTGATACTCCGATATTCCACAGCTTTGAAGCTGTCTTGCCTAGACCAAAGGTACAAACTGTTCTACAATTGATTAGTAAAATTGACATACCTGTTTTTCTTTGGGTGATATGGTGCATAGCCTGCATTAGAGGCGGTGCACAATATGAATATTTTGTAAATGTATTAATGAATGGCCCATCATTTATATGCTCTTTTCATTTGACCTTCATCCGCATCTTTCAACTTTTAAAATGTAATTTTCTTCCAATTTATACATTCATTATTCAGAACATTGCTGTTTGGAATTTTTGCTATGTTTATACGATAGTAAATTTATATAATTTGATCTTTGTGACAGGCTAATCCTTATTATGACTTTGAGGAAGTGTTGGATTCTGACGAAGAACTGGACTTAGCATCTATGGTGTCATCCGCATGAAGGAATGCTTCCCCTTAAGAGCATCACATCTTTGGTATGTAGATTAATTTACCTCTATTTTTTGCATTTTTTGTTGTATATAAGCAGCTGCAGTACAGCTGATGTGCCCCATTAATCTATTTGTATCACTAGCCAATAGGAAACCTTGGAGGAGTATATAATTATCGCTCACATTTTGAAGTTTTTGACACTGAAGGTGTATCACTATAATCTTTCTCTGTTTTCCGATGCTTCATTCTGTTATATTTCTTGAAGGAGTGGGTTGGTGTATGTTTTACGGTGCTTAGAGGTTAATCAGTACTCCATATTATTGTTTAATCATTTAGTCTTGCATTCTTGCATCAGTATTCTCATCTGTGTTTTTTTTGTCATATTGAGTGAAATATACATGCGGACGTGTTCAGATTGCATATCTTCTTGCTGCTGTGTAATTCTTGGTGTGTTGAACCGTAAGGATGATATAGCCTGCTCTACTTTCTCGTTACAAAACACCTCAATGTTGCAAATATACTTAACTAAGAAGAAAAGGATACTGATTTTGGCATTGCTTGTGTTAAGAGCGCAAAATTTTTGCGCTCATAGTGAGAATGCAAACATTATTATTCTGGGTGCTAAAGTTAATTTTCGAATGAAAACCCACATGACGTTTTGCTTGTCCTTCAATAGAGACAATATCAAGACTTGTTAACCCTTTGCAACAAATTTTCATCGATATGATAATAACGTCCACAAGTATATACTCCCTCTATTACATATTACTCGCACCAAAGAAATATTTTATGTCTCACAAATAATACTCCTTTGTTGCGAGTAATATGTAACGGAGGGAGTACTTCGTAATAAAAAATTCCTTTGGTGCGAGTAATATGTAACGGAGGGAGTACTTCGTATTAATTGATATTATATGATGTTATTACTTGGTCTGTTGCCTCACATTAAAAATCACCACATGTCATCGTTGTGTAGTTGAATGCTAAATCATTGTACTTCGTATCAACTCATTAGTTTCTTATCAAAGCGAGAGAATAACTAGTCCATATCAACTACTTAAAACTTAATACAGGCTAAACTTAATTAGAAATGTGCCATGTATGTATTGTATGATTGGATTAATTGCAGTACATTAGTACATTAATTATATGGATGTGAAATGTGGTTGAAAGGGTATTATCAGATCAAAAATTTAGATCATCGACCTGTCTTTCATTTTCCTCGCGAAATCTTTCATTTTCCTGACGAAATCTTTCATCGACATCTAAAGGTTTCACATAATTATTTCAAAGAGTGGGACAATATAATGTCGCATCATACTTAAAGACTTGGAAAATGGGGTATTCAATTGAAACCTAAACTGACGAGAAAGTCCAAATATTCTCAATTTCTTCAACACCTCGACGGCATCTTTACGTCCTCTGTTTTGTGGCCATTCCAAGAAAATATTATTATTATTTTTTTGGTAAAGATTTATACGTAGTACATTTTTGAATTAGTGTATTTGCTCTACGAAGTACTACGTATAGAAAATACATATGTACTCGTACATTTTTGTAGAGTCTACGTGTCATAATATACATGTTTGATTGAATGGATAGGTATACATATGTACTCGTTCTTTTTAATTTATTTATACTCCGTATGAATATGTAAAATAACACATACTTTCCCAATTTATTAAAGATGAAAATAAATCATATTAGAGGTTTTTACTTTTTAGGAGTAATTGAAACTTCCTTAAAAAAATAATAATAATAATTTAAACTGAAAATTGGTTTGTTTTTTTAGACAGAACTTTGTAGGTTTAGATCGCATTGATTTGGGACTAAATATAGTATTTATTCCGCATCCGTTTTACGAGTATTCAATTTGATTCATAGCAATTGTTGAGCAACCCTACCTTTGATTTGGGTGGACCTGCAATTTAAAGTGAAGGTATATTGTTCATTTTCATATCACATCCATTTTCCTTGTGAAATATCATAAAAACTTCTTCCTTTCTTTCTTTTGAACCCAAATCTTCTCTACCAAATAGGTTGTTACAATTCAAATCACATTGTTATACATATGTATCTTGTAATAATAAAACTTTGTCTTAGGTTTATGTCTCTCCTAAGTCTTAATTAATTACAATGTATTATAAACTTTAATTTCGAAAAAAGTTTCTTTTCATAGGCCCCAAAAGGTTTACGCTATTAGATTCTCACAACCTCTATTATCTTATCAGTGTCAATCAAGCTCCTTTGTTACATTAGCTACCCCATGGGTTGATGGACCTTGTGCTAAGTACATGAATTAAAAGCGAAGTTTACCCATCTCTAATGTCATGGTCTATAGATATTTTGAATTTTCTCTGATCCCGCCCAATTTTTATAAGTGTGTAATTTAATTTAAACTAGATTAAATTGGCTTTTAGATAATATATCTAAGTAAAAATAACGAACTATGCTATGGATATAAGCTAATTTATATGGTTAAAAACTTAACATGTTACGGATGATATTCACAGCGTGAGATTGAATTATGCATGTTCGCATCATCTACTCTCTGTGACACACTTACTCCTCGTGACACACTAATATTCATTGCTACAACCACAAAAAGGAAGAATTAAAAATGTAGCTATTGCACGAAAAAAGCCTTAAATGCTTAAGGACCCGCACTTAGACGATAGGCATGCATGTCAATTTGTCGTCCAAGACAAGGGGTCAATGGCGAAGAATGCCAGATACACATGAAAAAAAATGGTTAAGTATTGAGTACATGATTTTGGTAGATCTATCTCCCCTAACTACCAAGATAAGGACCTTGCATGCATACATAAATAGGGTTTTATTTTCCAATCAACATAACAACACAAAACAATGTTCCTACTTTGGTTAATGATGGTGAGCCCTTTCAGCGTAGTTGGGAAACACTAAATAGTATATAATCCTATGACGGAAGATATCTTTGTTCAAAATTAATTGTCATATTAATAGTATTATGCTCTGTATCAACTACGCAAAATAATGTAGCAATAACATTCAAAGGCAAATCGTGTTTTGTCCCCCAATATTGCTTGTAATTTATTGACAATTTGACACCAATGTTTTAAAATCTTAACATGTATGTATGCACAACTTTAATTAGCTCACTAATAAACTTTAAAATGGTATGAACTTCGACCACTTTGCCAATTCGGTGCATGTGCTGATGTACAAATGTGCCGATAACAAATTAATAAGACCTTATCAATTTATTATATGATACAAATCATATTTTATCAGCAACGAGAAGATTAGATTTTCAGTAATTTAATTATATTGAACCCACTTTTGTAAAAATGAGCTTTTATAGTACCTAGTATTAACTATTAAGTTTATATTGTTTTAAAACAACCTTTCAAATTTTTTATGACAAACTTAAACCTTTTTTTAAAAAAAGATAAAACCTTACTCTAACTTTCGGGTAAGCTATAAGAGGAGTAAAATTGGCAGAATATTTTCCAATAAATATGGTGCTATAATGAGTACATTCCCATCTTCTAACTTAACTGACGGAGGATGATTAATCTGTTGAATTTTATGCTATCAAAAATTAATTAGGTTAACATATATGGAAGTCCAGTTAATTAACATCTTACACTTCGTATAATTTTAGAAATGCTTTAATTTTTTTAGGTGGTATAAGCTCAATCATATTCCACTTTATAATTTACTCATGGGACCGGCCCTTTGTCACTTCTATACAGGTAAGCAGTTTCATATATTAATTTCAAACTTAATTCTCTTTATTATTATTGGTGTTCTACACTTATATGTATTACAGTATAATTCTTGATCTCATTAAATAAAGACATTCAAAATTTATCACGTTTGTTGACAAAAAAATTAAATAAAAATAAAATTGAATGCTCCTCCATCAGTCTTCCTAGTGGATTAGCAAAATAGTGATATAAATTATGTGTGTTTTACGCTGATTTAATTGTAATCTCAGCTCTTTAAGTAATACCCAATACATGCAATTGAATTTCAATTCGATCCTATGCTTTTACAAAAAATATATATGAGTAAACCATGCTCAATCAATGGATAAATCGCGATTTTAACACTCCCTCCATGGCTCCATATCACGAGAATACGAAGTAATTTATAATTTAGGGTTTTAAATAGTAGAGCATAAATGGATCAGTTTAGGAGATCCTTAATATTGACTAATATAATGCTCAATGCAATATATGATAACATGAAGAAAATAATTGTTTTTTTTTTTTTTTTTTTTCGAAACTACAACATCAAGTAATTAATGTACAAATTATTTTGTAATCAATCTCAATGTAAAATTTATTGAAGGGTCGATCTCAATCTCCTTTGTTCCAATCCCTACTATTAAGAATACTTGCTAAAGATTATGCATGGTCTAAGCTTTCATACAAGGTTATTAATTCGTTAGTATTTTTAAATTGAATGCATTGATATATACTTCGCTAGATAGAACATATGATTAATATGAAATGACTTGAAGAGTATACATTTAAAAACAGAAATTTTACATGTTCAAGAATAATTAGTACATTTTAAAACAGAAAGAGTATACATTATAATTCATAACCAATAATGTCCAACCAATTTAATTAGCAATGGTCCAAAAATGAATAAAAACTACTTCGTATGATAATTGGTTGAGCAATAATATATAATAATTTCTACATTTCCTCTCTCTATAACAACCACATCAAACGCAATTAAATGCAATTTGTAGGGTTACATCTACTAACCAATGTACTTAAATCTTATTTATCCATTAGCTAGCTTCAAAAATTCATGCCATAATAAAATGGGGTCCAATCTAGAAGGATGGAGGTTGGAAGTTGTAGAATTAATCCTATGATTAGCCATTTGTGATATTGTTACATTATATATAAACTCATCATAGAACCATATTCTATACTTTTATTTTGTTGTTACTTGTTTAGTAACCCTCTTAAAACCTGAACGAATATACACCGTGATGGATTTGGGGTCATGGAGAATTGTTCTCTCTCTTTTTGGAGTCATTTCTTTGCTCTTTTCTACTTGCTACTGCGACAAAGGTACGTATATACATAAGAATTTAATTATTATGAGTAACATAAATCTAATAGTTATGTATTAGGGATTTTTTTTTCCTTCATTATTTTCACACTTTTCAAATCATCTATACATACAAGATTTCAATGAAGAAATCTTAATGTTGTACTTTAATACACAATTATATTTTCAACTTTTTAATAGCATGAAAATTGTATACTCCATAAATTATTCCGTAGAAATTAATCGTTAAAAGTCTTATTTTAAAAGTCAATTTCCAAAATTGCGGTGGGGTACACTTGTTTATACTATGAAAATCTCCAATTATTAGAAGAAAAAAGTACATTTACTTACATTTTCTGAAACTATAATTGTATGTAGCTCCAAATTACTCTTTCATGAAAGAAGCAACATTTGCACCACAAGTCTCATACTATGACTACATCATCATCGGAGGTGGGACCGCGGGTTGCGCATTGGCGGCCACCTTGTCCGAGGGAGCACACGTCCTGCTCCTAGAGAGGGGCGGGGCACCATATGGAAAAAAAGTTGTGGAAGAAATGAGTGGCTTTGGAGCCAACCTAAGCGAAGATGATGTTCACAATAACAACTCCACGGCTCAACAATTTGTGTCAGAAGATGGGGTGGTGAGTTCACGTGCCCGTGTGCTCGGTGGTGGTTCGGCCGTGAATGCAGGGTTCTATAGCCGTGCAGGGACAGACTATGTAGCCAAGGTTGGGTGGTCAGGGTCCTTAGTGAACGAGTCTTATGCATGGATTGAAAAAAAGGTAGCATTTAAGCCTCCAATGTTGCAATTTCAATCGGCTTTTCGAGATGGGCTAGTAGAAGCTGGGGTTAAGCCCTATAATGGGTTCACGTATGATCATATAGTTGGAACTAAGATTGGAGGATCTATATTTGATCACAATGGAAAGAGGCACACTGCGGCCGATTTGTTGGAGTATGCTAATCCTAATACAACCGTCGTTTATTTGTTTGCTACGGTTCACAAGATCATGTTTCGAACAAAAGGTAACACCCCTTGTATTTTGAGTTGTCTGCAATCATTGACACGAACTTGACACTGTGACATAAAGAAGTGAAAAGTGTTGCGTATTTGGTTTAGTATCATAATATGGTTTTGATAATGATGCTTATTAATACTAGAATTTAATTATAATTTACTTAAAATGGAAATTTGATGTAAAACAGGGCAATATTCTCAAAAACCAAGAGCTCATGGTGTAATATTTAGGGACTCAAAGGGGATAAAGCACAAAGCATATGTAAAAGCAGGGGAAATGAATGAAATAATATTATCAGCAGGTGCATTAGGAAGCCCACAATTATTGATGTTAAGTGGAATTGGGCCAAAAGCCCATCTTAAGGAACTTGGGCTTGAGTTGTTAGTGGATCAGCCAATGGTGGGCCAAGGCATGACTGATAACCCAATGAATGCTGTGATGATTCCTTCACCAAATCCTGTTGAAGTTTCTTTAATTCAAGCGGTTGGTATCACTGAGTTTGGTAGTTACATTGAAGCTGCTAGTGGTACAAACTTTGCCAATTCCATTATTCACTTAATGCCTACTTCTTACAAGGTGCAATATTTCACTACTCTTATTATTATTTAGCGAGTTTATTTAACATTGTTGCGTTACCTGAATATGATATTATCTAAACTTATTTTCTTGAAAAGTGTTTAAAATGATTAAAAAAAAAAAAAAAAAGCCTTAATTGAAATTTCGAAAAACACATATTTCTAGCCCGGACTAAGTTTTGAAAGTTTGATTTCTTTTGCAGACTAGCCAACCCACAAGCAACCAAGAATACATTAATAAAGTAGCAAGTGAAAAATTATATGCTGGCCTAATACTTGAGAAAATAATTGGGCCTATTTCTTCAGGACATCTATTACTTAAGACCAAAAATCCAAGTGACAACCCTTCAGTCACATTTAACTACTTCAAAGAAAAGGAAGATCTAACAAGGTGTGTTAAAGGGATGGAGACCATAATCAAGGTAATTAAATCAAAATCATTCTCCAAATTCCGGTACTCGGAATTAACAATCGAAAGTCTTTTGACCACCATGGTGAACCTCCCTCTCAATCGATGCCCTAGGCCGGCCAACGACACCGGACTATTTACAACACTTGAACAATTTTGTAAGCAAACGGTCATGACAATATGGCATTACCATGGAGGTTGTCAAGTTGGTAGAGTGGTTGATAAGAATTACAAGGTTTATAATGTTAGTGGTTTAAGGGTTGTTGATGGTTCTACATTCTATGCCTCTCCTGGGACTAATCCTCAAGCTACGGTCATGATGCTTGGAAGGTATGCCACTAATTTATCATTTTTACATTGTTTTTACTACGTCTAGACATTTGTGATTGTGTGCGCGTGTGTTCTTTACACCTGAAAATAAATCCCGTATATTAACCTATTGATACAATTATTTTGGTTGGACTTTATCTGAACTTATTTCGTATAGGACTTATCTTATAGAGTTAAGTGGTGAATTCGTAATGTAGATGTACATCTTGAATAGAGAACTATAGAGTTTATTAGTCCGAAATGATAAATGCAACCTTTGTGTGTGTTATATGCTACAAGAAAATAAACTAATGGTTTAATTCATTTGTTATATGCAGATACATGGGAAGAAGGATTTTGCAAAGCAGAACTGCTGCATTAAAGAAGAAGAGTTTCAAGGATTAATCATTTTAAAATGTCACTTTTTTTGTTTTTGTTTTTTAAACCTCTTTTTCCTCTAACTTAAAGGGGGAAAAAAACTCAAAATTGTCAGAGAATTTTCATTGATAGCATACGTGTCTTCTTCCATTGTTAATCATTTGACTAGAAATTTAGAATTGATTTTCCTTTTTTAAGAATTGTCAATTCAAGGAACAACAAATATTTTTTTTTTGCTTAAAAATAAAATGTAAACATGCTATACTATGAAGCGTGGACAAAACTTTACTGAGTAAACTAGCTCGCACTTTGGATATGCTCAATTAATGTTCATATTAAGGAGACTATAAACTTAAATTGTAGATTGGTAATCAATGCTTCAAAAAAGTTTAATGCTTGATTACCCTTTCATTATTGTTGTATGTAACCACAAACTAGGACATTGAAATGTAATGCCGATAAAATAATAATAAAGACAAAAACTTACTATAAATTGTACGGGGCAAGTAAACTGAGGCATTCTACCACGGAAAAACAATTTAGATCATATAGGAAAATAGCACATAAGCAGATTCGTCTAACTTAATTACTTCGTATCACATTACTAGTTCAGATCATATTGTTATCGCAGAAACAGTTTATATACTATCACTATGGTAAGATGAAGGTGAATTGTAAGATTGGACCAAGTTTCAAACCCAACATCTGAGAAAATAAAACACCATTGGGTCTGTAATGGGCCCAAAAGTCCATTACTTGGGTATACTTTAACTAATTGGATCCTAAAGCTTGACAAATGCTTAAACTAACGGACCTGTAAAAGTACAACTGTTGGCCCAAAAAAATTGATCCTCTTTAAGAGCCAGTCCGGCCATGTATTATATTGCTTACTTCTCATAGTTGACTTTGACCGATGCCAAATAACGAATAGTATATTACTACCTCCCCCCATGTATTATATTGCTTCATGCATATTGTTTGCAATGATTAGACATTTTTCCTCTCTACTTTATGTCAAATCGTTACAAATAATATGAAACGGAGGTAGTAGTATGATTTAGGAGAAATATGTTTTCCCTTCTCTTCCTTACTTTTCTCTTCCTTTCCTTTCCTTTATTAATATTGAATCAAAAAGGGTTGTAAAGTTGCCCCAACAACTCCATATATCTTTAATTGCGTATAAGTAAATGGAATGAAATTGTTTAATGTACTAATCTATAAACATGGTCATAATTTTATCACACTAGGGGATTATAGACAATAATGAAAAATATTTAAACTAAACCACTTCAAATTCCTATTAATTACCAAATTACCTTAATTTTGACTAAGAGAACACAATCTAGGTCACTTTCTTATGAAGATTATTTAGGTATGTTCTTGTCACCTTAAAAAATTGTTGTAGGTCACAAGTTCTAATAAATAACATTCAAGTCCAATAAATTCTAGTACTTGTATTCTCTCTACAATTAGGTCTAATCAACTTAGATAAAATGTAGCCGGGTTATGTAGCGAACATATTCTAAGTTAATTTTCTTATAAATTATTCCTCCCCTTAGGCTAATTAGAATCGAATTTCCAAACTATGTAATGAGAATATTCTCCAAACCTCCATAATACCCCCAAAAATATATTCTCTATATGTGTACTCCATTTATCTTCTTTTATTTTTATTTATTTATTTATTTATTTTTATTTTTTTTGAGGTTAAACTTGAACTAGGGCATTAATTTTTAGTTGTACTCTCCTAGTATGGAGTAATAACCTAGCGACAGCTATAAGTGATAAGTGATTTGACTATGATAGGAGAAGGGGAACAAGGCATGACCTACACGTATTATGATACATGTAAGGATTATTATGGATAATCGAGTGGTAGTTGGATTATAAACTTTGAATTGAGTATATGATAATGTTTTGAAATCATATATAAATGAATGCATTGAATCAGAACTGTTTTATTTATAATCTATCATGCAAAACCCTAATAATACTATTATTAGATATTGGATTTAGTCCTAAAATAGTTGGAATAATTCTATATTTACACAAATTTATCTAACTATATATGATCATGACGATCAAAGAGGAATAACTTCATTTCCTTAACTTCCTTCATTCTAGTGAACGAATAGGTGATATTCGAGCTCATAAGTCCACAACCTAGCAAAGACTGAGATATATAACAAGTCGTCCTATCAACTGATGAGTTATCCTCACTTAGAATAGGTTATATTTAAATATACGAAGTATATCATATGACATGACTAATAATTCTACATGAGAGATCAACAAAATCAAATACAGCTAAAAATAAAAAGTATAGTATAAATATATAAGATCAGAACAATATGATTAATGTATGTATGTGTATGTAGTATACTTCATCAATCGAACTAATACATACATATTGTTGTGTATTGTTGTACTGTATACTGGAATGCAATTATATACATACAATTAAACATCATACAGTACATAAAATGCCTAGTGCGTGCATGATTTTTCAGACATTACGATAATGAGCTAAAAAATTGGTTTGTTACTCGGCTAGATATAGATATGTTACTCGTACTATGTTGGAATTTTCTTTACTTGTACTGGTGCATGGCTATAGCTTAGTGCAATAGTGCTTGTTTCTTTTTTCTTTCAAGCTAAGTGATAAACCATTATATATACAAGTACAATAATGTAACGTATACATGCAACACTTTTATGCGTACTTGAGATATATGATATGAATTGAATTTTAGAGATTGGATAAGAAAAATAGCTAAGGTCACACACATGGAACATGATTGATCGAACATTATTTATACATTCTTAATCTCTTTAGCTTGTTTTATCCTTTCATATCCTTAATATAATTAGGTAATGAGCAATATAGTGATCTTTTGTTTGTTACTCATGGTTTTCATTTTCTTTCTAGGTTTTCCATGTTAGTTACTAGTAAGATTGTTAGAGATATCGGAAAATATATTTTCCGATATCTAACAAAGATTTTCTCATCAAAAAATTAGGATAATAATGGTGTTTGGACCCCCTGTGGGCCCACGTTCATTAAATACATAAATTACCAAAGTGCCCTTAGTTAAACCCTAAACAGGAAAATTCAATCATCATGCACAGCACGCATCCCGAGAAACCCTAATATAGTCCAACAGGGCCTAACACGGCCCAAAACGGCCAGAAGCCCCAATCCTAACCCTAATCAAGTTAGTTAATTCTTTCCTATAAATGCTAATCTTCACAGATTAGCGAGGTAATGAATTCTTTCTCCACACACTCTCTCTCTACAAATTCTCTCTCTAAACACAGTTTACTGACTTAACCGTCGGAGGGGCTTTCTCGGGAACACCCCCCGAGGCAGTTGACTTTCGTTGTTTTGCAGGACTCGGTTCGACCAGACGAGCAATTCCCCTTCAACTTCGATCCGAAATTCTTTTGCAGAAACAATTGGCGCCGTCTGTGGGGATTCGTCAAACAAAAAGTCATGGTTACCACTCGTTGAACCGATCCTTCCCAAAACGCTGGTGGGCAGAATCAAACTCAAGGTCAGTCACGCCCACCTCGTCAGTCGCGGAACAACCCGCAATCAAACCGTGAAGATGAAGGTGACAACATGGAGGTTGAACAACCCGTTGATCAAGGAAATCAGCAACCTGTGACTAGGCAAGATCTAGAAAAGCTGACCGAGCAGTTCAACACAACTCTCCAAGACACCCTCAGACAACTGACTGAAGCTGTGAAAAACAACCAAGCTGGTCCCTCCCGCCGGCCACTGCAAGACCAGGGACGCCAGGCGTCGCGAAACAGTCAAAGGGCACAACCCCACAATGTTCCCCGACGAAACGGTGGACAAAGCCGTAGGGCACAGCCTGTCGGTACTACTAGATCCGCCCTAAGTAGATCTGGAAACCGTTGTCGATCTCCTCATTATCGGCCTGTCATATCACCGGTCTGCATAGAATCCAGTCGGAACTCTACTGCAAGCCGACGCCGGAGGGAGGGTGAACCAGCTAACCGGGTTAGAGACCCAGATGCTAGACGACTCATCGATGAGATGCGCTTACAGCGGCGCGAGATGGACGCCCGAGAACTCATTAACAGACACAGGGTAATCGAGCAACGCCAAGCACGTGATAACGATGAGAATCGGACACGGAGTCGTAGGCAAAGTCAGAGTCCGAGATCGCCTGATCAGCGATCACCTTCTCGTCGAGAGGATGTAGGAGAATCAGAAGATCCTCCAAGGCAGGACAGATCTGAGCGAGATCCCATATCTCGTCATACAAGCCATAGACCTCGGGAAGAAGAAAGAACTCGAAACCGAGATGAGCAGCCACCACGGTTGCCATCTCATTTGTCTGCGCCGCTGACTCCATTGAGCCAGGAGCTAATGAATGCCCCAAAAGTAGACAAGGTCAAGATGCCTACCATAGAGCCTTTCGCTGGAACTATCGATGACCAAAGCGAAAGACAACCTACGAACCTTGCAACATCAAGTGCTCAAGGTCACACCCGTTTCAACGCCCTCTTCGCCTATCATGACGTTCGGTGGAAAGTTAGAGCGCCCTTTGCAAATCCCTCATGACGACCCTTTGGTCATTGAGATGAGAATTGCCAACTTAAGAGTTAGTCGAGTGCTCGTCGATAGCGGGTCATCAGCAGACCTCATCACCCTTGATTGCTTGAGGTGTTTAAAATACAATGTAGAAGATCTAACACCCGTAGACAGACCCTTAATCGGCTTTGGAGGACAGTCCGTCTTTCCCAAAGGGACAATCCGTTTACCAGTTCGACTTGGTCCTAAAGGGAAGGGTAGATCAGTGATTACCCACTTTTTGGTGGTGGACACACCCTTACCCTACAATGTCATACTCGGACGACCGTTATTGAACAAGGTAAAGGCAGCCATATCAGTCTATCAGCTGCTCATGCAATTCGAGCTTGAAGATAGAACAGTTGGAAAAGTATATGGAGACCAAGGATCCGCTAGAGAATGCTACGTCAATAGCTTGAAGCGAGCATCTGAAGCACCCGCTGAACCATCGAAGAAGAACAAGGTAACCGACCCTTCCGTCCTTTTCACTGAAGAATCTAGGGGGAGTAGACAAACCCCAGCCCGTAGAAGAAGATAAGGAAGAAGTCATTGGCAGCGCTGAAGAAACGGGGCGGGTCGGAACAAATATCGACGCTGCATTGCGCACTCAAATAATTAATGTGCTTAAGGCACATCGTGATGTCTTTGCCTACTTAGTAGGCGAGATGCCCAGCATAGACCCTGCCATTATGACTCATCGCTTAAACATCAAGCCAGGCT